GACATAATGTTATTTTCACATTTGACATGAAAGTGCTTTAGTGAAATACAAAGTTTTATAATTTTTATAGACCTATTACCACACAGAATTTCAGACCATACATTTAATATCGTTCCCATCTCAGGAGTTCGCAAGAAAAAATGTCGATAATAATAACCAAGGCCCGGATTTTGATGACATGTCATCTTTTTTTTTCCTTGTATCCTATTCGATGTCCGTAAATATATAGATCCCGGAGATGAGCTGCTGGTTACAGAAATGTAACTTTTATAGGTCATTTTTCGTCATTTTTAAGTTTTTTGTCATTTTTTTCGGTTTGGGATAATTTTTCGGAAAATTGTTGGACTTTTATGGGTATTTTTTATCATTTAAGCCATTTTAGAGAATTATTCTTCATATGTTTTCAGAAATGTGAATAATATGCAAGTAAAGTGTTCTTTCTCTTTCTCCTGCCTCTACAAAGGCAGCCTGCAGCTGTACCCCAAGTACCTGCTACCACAGTATGCAGTATTAAGTTGTAATAATGTCCCGTCCTTTCCGTTCGTTTTGCGGAAAGTGCTGACATTACATATCATAAAACATTTTTAGCTGGCAGCAGGGTACGACAGTGGTCACTCACACTGCGGCCCATTCCAAGTTCTGTGCAAAGGAATTTGTTTAGTTAAAAATATTTATAGTCAGAATCCCTCTCTTTTTGTGACATACTGTTGCTCAATAAAACTCCGTCTGTCTTCAGTTTCTTGCCCTTGGCCGTATAGACAAAGACACAGTTGATGAAGGATTCTCAGTGTGAAAAGTCAGTTCTGTGTTACACTAAAGTGATTCATTTTATCGCGATGCCTAAAGCAAAGCCATCTAAATCGTATAATTTAAAGCAGATTGCAGCTGAATTTGGAGATGATATATTTTCAACTGACGGTAACATTTTATACTGTAAAATATGTGACATAAAATTATCAGCAGAAAAATGTTTCACAGTACAACAACATATCGGCCGCAACAAGCATATACGAGCAGTGCAAATTTTGAACAAAAAGAAATCTGTGCAAATGTAACTCCAACAGTGTTCATCTGAAGGCGGAAATAAGTCATCGGATTTTTCACATATCTGTGTGATGTTCTGGTGTCCACAAATATTCCGTTTTGGGATCTGAACAAGGAAAAACTGAAAAAAATGAATTGTGGTTTTTCTATCCCAGATGGAATCCAAACTCAGGAAAAACTACCTTTCCAAGTGCTACAACAATATCTGGAAATGATTAGGAATAGAGTGCATGGGAAATTTTCGTTTCCATTGATGAGACCTGCGATACGGAGGCTCGCTACATAGCAAACGTCATCATTGGAACCTTGGAAATTGATGGACCAGGTGAAGTGTTTCTGCTACGAAGGTGAGGTGCTAGAATCAGTTAATCATTCCACAGTTTGTAAACTCTTTGACAAGTCAATGTTTTTACCGTGGCCAGAGGGTATGCGACATGATGACATCTTGCTTTTTGTGACCGATGTGGCCCCATGTAGTTTAAAAGCAGGCAGTGTTAATAAAGTCGTTTTATACGAAAGTGGTGCACGTTACTTGTCTATCACATGCACTGCATAGACTGACAGAGGAAGTGAGATCAAGCTCTCCTCAAGTGGATGCTCTCGTGTCGAGGACGAAGAAGATTTTCGTCAAGGCTCCAGCTTGTAAAATGAAGTTTAAGTCTATGGCTCCTGGTGTTCCACTACCCCCGGAACCCATCATCACAAGTTGGCGAACGTGGATTGATGCTGCAGTTTACTATTGCGATCATGTTCAAGTAGTGAAACACACTGCAGATTCAATAAAGACGGAGGATGCTAGGGCAATTGAAGCTCCTCAGGAAAAGTTCTCGTGCATCGAAATGGAAGGACAGGCAAGGCAAATTTCAGTTCCTTGAGGGAGGAAATGCTTACGGGAGAAAGGAGCAACGCTAGAAGATTCGCTCGCTCTCGTGATACAAATAGCCAGTGATTTGGAGAAAGTGTCAGGGGACAGTGGTAAAATGGTGTAAAGAAAAATGAAACATGTTCTAGATAAGAACTCAGGTTGTGAAACATTACGCAGTATTTCTCGAATTCTGTCAGGAGAGTTCTTCAGCGCTTTCAGTATTGAAGAGGAACTTACTGCTAGTGATTTGGCGCACTTCAAGTACGCTCCCACTGTGTCTGCAGATGTGGAAAGGAGTTTCTCCAAGTACAAGAATGTGCTATCGGACAATAGGCGCTCTCTCACCTTCGAGAATCTCCACATGTTGACTGTAATTTATTGCAATTCTGAATGAGGTGGCACTTAAATATTGGAATATAAACCATATACGTACATTTAATAGTTTTCAAACATGGTAGAAAAAATCGTATTAAAACATTTAGCTTCAAATTCAATCAATATTGCTTAATTTTCAACATAAAAATGAGGACGAACTTAAAAGAGTAACGTTGAGTTCACGGTGTTAATAAAGATTAAAAATACATTTTAAAACAATTAGTAGATTCTCCATGATATGATACATTCTTAGGTTGTTTTCTTACTTTTAGATGATTTTTCGGTCATCTTTATAGGTAATTTTTCTGGATTTTCGGTCATTTTTCTGGATTTTTTCGGTTAATTTTAAAATATTTTTGGTTCATCAAAATATGGGCCCTGATAATAACGGAGCTCTAAAAGTATCAAAATAAGGAGTTATCTAGAGATATTACAGGCCCATTTTCATAAAATTCGGACATGTCTATAACATTAATGTTTGTAGTTGAATTAAGGGACAGTCTCTCCACTCGTCAGCATTGTTCCTAATTCAAACACACTGCTGAATTAACTGCATATAATTTTTCTCAAATCTCCGTCAATGCATTCTTCTCCATCTCATGGCACTTGCATGTGTAATTAAGGTCTACAGATTAGTAAACACACAACACGCGGCGATTTATATCCATGAAAAATCGAAAAATTCAGAATAATGGCTTGATTTTGAAATCATGAACAATTGTTTGACATTTCCCTCCATTTCTCGCCTCCAAAATGGTACAATAGCGCGAAAAAAAATTGCAAGAACAGTGAATTGTCTCTCGAGCATGAAATGAGGAAGAAAGAAAATAGACATGTAAGAGAAATAAAATAGGGACAGTTCTACCAAGTGAAGTGACGTCAGAGAGCTTTCCGGGCAAGCAGTCACGGAAGGGGTTATTGGCCCTTCTGTTCAACAAAACCAACTGCTTCACAGGCGTAATTTCTAGGATCAGTGGCGTTCAACAACGACAGAATTTACGTATCTACCTACGCTAACATAATCTAATTGAGAGTAGATTGCAAATATGCAAATTAAATGAATAAATAAATAAAAAAACATAACCTAAGATTTGGGTGTTGGGGAAAATATTTGGGCCGAAGAGAGATGAAGTGACAGAATGTTGGAGAAAACTGCATAATGAGGAGCTTCATAAATTGTACTCTTCTCCAAGTATAATTAGAATGATCAAGTCAAGGAGGATGAGGCGGGCAGGGCATGTAGCACAAATGTGGGGTAAGAGGAATGCATATAGGATATTGGTGGGAAAGCCAGAAGGAAAGAGACCACTGGGAAGACCAAAGAGTAGGTTGGTGAAGAATATTATAATGGATCTTAGAGGGACAGGATGGGATGGTATCGATTGGATTGATCTGGCTCAGGATAGAGACCAGTGGAGGGCTCTCGTGAACACAGTAATGAACATTCGGTTTCCATAAAACCTTCGGAGTTAACGACAAGTGCTTTTATTTTCAAGTTTTTTTTTCATGCAACCAGATGTATCTTCACGCCGACCCTCCAGCCCTTAACTGACGGTTGAAGCTAAAATGGGCTATTTGGTAGAATAGAAGTGACAGTGACAATTTTCACGAAAAGCTCATGCAAAATAAAGCAAAGCAAAGGTATCCCTGTAACAGGCCTTTGAGGCCCATAGGGTTGTGAGATGTTGCGGTTCCAACATGTTCTAGACAATCGGCTCATAGATGGCGGTAAGGCTGTGAGCCCTACGCGCCGGCCGCCTTTTACCCCCAAGAATATTCCTGGTACTCATTTCTGTTAGATGTTGAATCGACCCCAGGGCCATAGTGCGGCTGGAAGGATTAGGTCAATTGAAAAAAAATCCTCATAGGGACTTGAACCCGCGACCCTCCGGCTTGTAGCATAGTGCCTCAACCAACTACGCTACCGCGTGCCCCAAACGAAAAGCTCACGAGTTCAGTTAAGTAGCGGGGCTGATGCTTCTCTGTACTCTATATAGTATCTTGCATGCTTCCTTTCCTTTCGTCACGTTTTCCGTTTTCTCACGAAGAAGGAATTGTTCTCCCATACTCTTCTCACCGTCTTGCCGTTTAGATAAGAAATGTAGGTGAATGCCAAAAATTGTAAAATAATTCAAATAATACACATTTTTTCTGGGTTGTTAATTTATTCATGGATATAAGTCTCAGTATTATATATATTTAATGATTTTCGGGCCGATCACAAAGGCCGCGCAGTCTAAGGCATGAACCGTCTTCGCTTTTCCGAGCACTGGGATCATGGGTTCGAATCCCACTCAATCCATGGGTGTCTGTGTGTGCGTTTATTCTGTTTGTGTTGTCCTGCGTGTAGGTAGCAGTGTTGCGATGGGCTGATCCTCCGTCCAAGTAGTCCTACCATCTACACAAAAAGAAATTACAAAACTGAAGACGAGGCCAGGGCCTAACAAAGGGCTGTAGTACCACTGATGAACGAATGAAATGATTTTCAGACCTCAGACGCCCAAATGACCAGAGGATTGAGAAGTATTATAATTCTTCATAGCTGATCTGCCAGTGTATGTAATTTTGTAGTTACGCCACTGAACAAACGTTCGGTTTATAATATAGACACTTGTTTTTTTATCGTGAGAACTGAGTGTATGCGAACCAATCAACACTCATTAGCTAGCGATTACTTGTTGCTGATATATCAACATTAGTAAACTCTGGCTTGCAGTATGACCAGAAGACGGACATCAGAACATAAGATGACATCGGATTCGACAGATCGGGCAAGCACTGCTTCGTTAAGCGAAGAGGAGGCCATGGCCACCTACTACATGATGGAACGAAACCATGATCAGCGGGACTCGGATTTAATGAACGGCCTCTACCGTCACAACATCCAAAATGGACACCCCAAAGCGGGAAGTAGCCAGAGCGTATGTAAGTACTCACGTTCTTTACGCGCCTGACAAAATCCTCACTTTATTCCACATGAAGTGAATTTAGAGACCTATGCGTCTACGAGCCTTGATTTTACACAAAATCTGATTTTGATTTTCCTTTACTAGTTCCAAGAAATAGAGCTCTTTTATAAAAGCTAATATTATGCAGATAATAAGAGAATACTACATTAGCTATTCGTAGACTTCAAGAAAACCTATAATTCAGTTAGGAGGGAAGTACTTTACAGTATTCTCAATGAGTTTTGGGTACCCTTGAAACTAGTTGGGCTGATTAAAACGAAAAGTATAGTAAAGTCCGTAGAGTTAAACATTTGTCTAATAAGTTTCCTATCCAGAATGGTCTAATACAAGGAGATGCTTTAACGCCATTGCTTTTTAACTTTGCTTTAGAATATGCCATTAGGAAGATCCAGGAAACCAAGTGGGACTGAAATTAAATGGGACACAACAGCTGTTGGTCTATGCTGATGATGTGACTCTACTAGGTGATAACATAGATACCATAAAGAAAAACACAAACTTTAATTGATCTACGTAGTAAGAAGATTGGTCTAGAAGTAAACACAGAGAAAACTAAGTATATGTTGCTGTCTGTCACCAGAATGCAAGGCAAACTCATGACATAAAGACGGCTAACATACGTTCTGAAAATGAAGCACAGTTCAGATACATGGGAACGACGATAACAAATCAAAATTTGATTCAGGAGGGAATTAAGGGGGAACTGAATTCGGGTAATGCTTGCTGCCATTCAGTTCAGAACCTCCTACTGTCTAAAAGCGTAAAAAATATAATATAAAAACTATAATTTTGCCTGTGGTTCTGTATGGGTGCGAAATTTGGTTTCTGATATTAAGGGAGGAACATAGACTGCAGGTGTCTGAGAACAGAATGCTGAGGAGAATATTTGGACTGAAGAGGGATAAGGTGACAGGATGCTGGAGAAAACTGCATAATGAGGAGCTTCATAATTTATATTCTCCTCCAGGTATAATTAGAATGACGAAGTCAAGATGAGATGGGCAGGGAATGTAGCACGAATGGTGGAGAAGAGGAATGCATATAGGATACTGGTGGGAAAGCCAGAAGGAAAGAACCACTGGGAAGACCAAGGCGTAGATGGGTGGACAATATTAAATTGGATCTTAGAGAGAATGGCTGGGATGGTGTGGATTGGATTGATCTGGCTCAGGATAGGGACCAGTGCAGAGCTCTTGTGAATACGGTAATGGACCTTCTGGTTCCATAAAATGGTAGGAAATTCTTGAGTAGCTGCACAATTTGCGGCTTCTCAAGAAGGGCTCAGCTCCATGAGTGAGTGAATCCTTTGTAGAAAGGAAAAACGACACCGCTGTCGGGCGAGTTTTTCTCTTTTCAGTTTTGGCAGCGATAAGTAATGGCCTACCACATGCAAAAGTTGATACGGAAATAAATAATAAACACAACTTCAATTTATGAATAAAATGATGTATGGCGAAGATTACAAAAATGACGATTATGCAGAATATTGACGTTATATCCGACAATATCACAGACAGAACTATAGACTCAATATATGAAAAAAGTTCTTCCCCACCCCTTAAAATACAATAATAGCGACATTTCGTGACATGTTTGAAACTGCAAGCAATAATAAATATTTCTAAATGGGATTCGCCCTTAAAATTATCTGTTCACGAGTCCAGAACGCTAACTCATGAGCTAGGCTGCATCTCATTTCAAGGTTGAATGCAAACTTACATGAAATAAATATAACGTTAACACAAGATATGAAGGATTCGAAATGTGATATGGAGGCGCAGTGTTCCTCCGAAAAGTCGGTTAACTTTTAAGGGACTACACGGCGTTATATTCTAGAAGATAGAACAGTTCATAACCACCTCTGTAAGAACCTCAAGTCCTAAAATAGGAAAGTAAGCCTTATGAGTTCCGTTTGGAGCTCCTTGCTTAACAATGCCAACTCTCCCTACATATGCTACTACAATATATAACAATCATTAGCATACTTTCTGGTAGGCTATTGAAGGAATCTTCGCCTATTATGTTATGTGAACGGCCACACATCGAGAGGTATGTCAAAATAACTTCTCGCTACTTAGAAGTACGTGGCTACTTTCTTCGGAAGACCATAACACATACTGTTAATTAATTAACTCTGTGGATCGGTGCCCTTCTTTATACGTTAACAGTAGCTCACCTGGTCGTGAAATTCCCTGCCTTTTACGGAACCCGATGTTAAATGTTCCTAGCAAAACAACCACTGAACACTATCCTGGGCAAGCTGAATCCACTCTACAACTCCACATACTATTTCTTTAAGATATATTCCAGTATTATCCTCTTATCTATGCATAGGTCTTCGAAGTGGTCTCCTCCCTTCAGGTTTTCCTTCCAAAATTTTGTTAGCATTTCTCATCTCTCCACATATACTACATTCTCCACATATTTTATCAACTTTTTAAAGTTTGTCATTTAACAACAGTCATATAATATCTGCGGTAGGATGATTAATGAAAGTGGAACAGCTGACAGAATGAGAATTGGCAGAGGAAACAGAAGTACTCTGAAAAACCTGCCCCAGTGCCATTTTATCCATCCCAGATTCCATATAATCTGCCCTGGAACAAAACCCGATCTGCCACGGTGGGAAATCGGCAAGCTATGGTACAGCCGGCTCATCCTTCTTGAATTTATCGCCGTAATAATACTCGAATATGGGACAGCACAAACCATTAAGTTCCCATTATACAATTTTCTCCAGCCTCCTGAAATATATATTTTATACGGTCACAACATTATATCACATTCTACAAAAGTACTTGCTAACAAACAAACGAACAAAACAAACTCCGCGGTCTTAGCCTGCAAGCGAACTATACCGAGTGAGCGACCGCCGCTTGTCGGCGAAGTTAGTGCCAATTTTAGCGGATAGAGAGTGTTGCTTCGTTAGAGCAACGAATCCCCATGCCCGTTAATCTCGGTTTTCTGGACCGGAGCCATTATTTCCTTGAAATAGTTCAATTATCCTCACAAGGCCGAGTGGACCCTGTTCCAGACCCACTACTTCTCAGAAAACCTAGTAGCGCAGGAAATCGAACCTGGACCTCTGGATGTGTAGCCAGGAACTCTGACCACTACACCACAGAGGCGGTCAGATCTCTGTTATCACAGTTTATATTCTACAGAAGGCCTATAGCATATGTGTTAGGCCTCTATGTTGACTGGGGTTAGTGTTGTCCCCACTACAGATGTCTGCACAATGACGACTTCATTATTGAAGGTTTAAATTTAGAAGTATAAAATCTATATTACTTCTATATATTATTATGAATGACATATATCATAAGCATATCCCTCTTAAATATAAAGCTCTGTTTATCTATATGTATATGAGTATTATTGAATGGAACAAAAGATTACTGTGGCGAACAGAACATTTAACCAGATAACAATTCAATACCCACAGAGCTACACAGATGCCCAAAGTTGTGTTTTTGAGACACAGCAAGAGCATGCCATAATTAAAACAATTTATGTTTCAGTGGTGGTAAATGAAGATGCTACTAAAAGTCGTAAGCAGGAACTGGTAAACTGGATCCGCGAAAAGGCCAAGAAATCTTTCACAAAGAAAGTACTCTACAAGCGTGTTCCTATACTCTCCTGGATGCCAAAATACAAAGCACAGGATGCAGTTGGAGACCTTGTGGCAGGAATCACTGTTGGGCTCACGGTTATTCCTCAGTCACTCGCATATGCCAATATTGCTGGCCTTCCCACAGAGGTATGTATCACTATCTCTATAGTTCTGAAATATTTATTTGCAGTTCAGCTTAGAGTGAAATACATTATCATGCCTGAAAAGCGACAGTTGATTCAAAATTTCTTCATAACAGACTCTACACAAATGGTGAACACTATTCTTATACATATGACCTAGAAGACTAAACTAAGGACATATGACTATTCAACTGATCAGGAAACTCTTTTCTTTTATTTAACCAAAACTTCATTGTAATATTTAGAAAAGCATGCCAGTTGAATCCAGTCCTGGTCCTCACTATCTATTCTGTTAAGATATATCTTAATATTATCCTGCTATCTCTCATTTTCTTCACAAATAATGTACTCGTAATCTCTTTGTCCTTGATTTGACCCTAATACTCGTAGTATTACATGAAGTTCCATATATGCCATTTTTAAGTGAAGTGGTGGGTAGTTAAAACTGTTCAGTGTGGAACAGAACTGAGTATAATTGAAGGAAAATACAAAAAGCCTCTGGTATAAGCTTCTTCACAGGTTGTATTTTTGTGAAACAGAAATAATCCAGTGTTTCAGACAATATATTAGTATAATGGCCTACCACAGACAACTAGGAATCTGGTAGACAAATGTCTGCAAAGAACTTCAATATCTTTTTAATGAAAATTCATTCAGACTGAGCAGCATTATTATTCATATTGTGACTAATTATTATGTTATTAATAACATACTAATGAAGAGATGGCTGGATACAACAAAGTGACTATGTACTCCAACTTTATTGTAACAACTCATCTATAATAGCACTGATAATAAATCTTCAAATTATTTGTGCACATGGAATAATGATAAAAATATTTTGTACAAAATTTTACTGTCATTAAACAACCTATCAATTAACTCTAATGCTACCTATTGTTTAGTAGACCCTTATCTCCACACATCCCTCAGTATCTCTCAGTATTAGTGCAGTTTTGTTATTGTGGACAGATAAATAATTTGACGCAAGGGATTTAAAAGTTATATTTTCCATATGACATACTGCACTCAGAAACAATATACAAAGATATTAAAAGCAGTAATCTAGTTCCTATTATGAGAAATGATTACACATGTTCACCATTGATTCTGATGTTAATTCCTGCAGAATTGTTCTTTGAATTATAAGGCTATAAATAGAATATGAATTAAGGTTTACACTTCACAAATATTCTGATCTATTTTATCCAGTTTATAGTTTCAGAATCTAGGCAACTATTTTTCAAGAAAATTGCTTTCAAATGCAAACAGCCTTTTAATAATTCTACATATTTTTCTTAGGAACTGGGATAGCGTAATCAGTATAGTGACTGGATACGGGCTGGACAACAGAGGGGTCGGAGTTCAAGTCCTAGTAGGGTCAAGAATTTTATCTTCTCCAAGTCGTCCAGACCAGCTCTAGGGTTCACCCAACCTCATATCCAGTGGGTACTGGGGTCTCTGTCCCTCATAGTAAAGTGCCCAGGGCATGAAGCTGACCACTCACCACCAAATAATGCTGAGGTCAAGAAAATGTGGAACTATACATCCACTCCCCCATACGCCTTCATGGCATAGTGCTTAATTAGTTAAGCATAGGGACAACTTTACCTTTACCTTTCACATATTTTTCTACTTGTTAAGTTGGAATGTACTTTTGGGGGGCTCCAGAATAGAAGACAGCCATGCTGTCAGGCAAGTTAACCTGCTGTCTGGACAATTTAAATTCCACAGCATAAATAAGACAAATGTGTTAAGTAGGCCACTCATCTCTGTCTAGTGATAAGATCTACAGACCTGTGTAGATCACTTACATTTGAGACATGCTTTAGACAATGTATAATACTTTCATCACTTTAATGAACATCATAACTATGTCTCCGGTGCACTTAATGTTGCAGTATGGTCTGTACGGCTCATTTCTGGGCTGCTTCCTGTACATTCTGTTTGGCAGCTGTAAAGATGTGCCCATGGGACCCACAGCAATTGTCTCACTACTCACATATCAACAGGTTGGCAATCTCGGAATTAATGCTCATTACTATGCTATCCTACTCTGTTTTCTGGCTGGATGTGTTGAAGTTTTAATGGGCACCCTTGGACTAGGTGAGTGTACAACTTTGTTTTGCCCTGTCAGAAATTCTTATAGTACCATCTGGTACTATTATTTGTGGATAACATGGTTTTCACAGTGAATGATTTACTTATTCCATTCATTTGCATGTTATTTAATTATGCAATCAGTAACTCACATTACATAGTGTCAGATAACTGGCTGTAACAGTGAATGAAGTGGAAAGCATAGGGCTGGAAGCATCCATAGCATAATACAAGGTATTATCCTAGCATTTGTCTGGAGGGATTTAGGAGAATGAAGAAGTCAGTCAGGACAGTAAGTGTACTGGTCAGCATTCAAATCGAAGACTTCCTGAATGCACTTCATAAGGGTTACCACATGGGCCAACTTGATCAGTTTCACAGCGTGAGACTGTTACATCCATAAGTTATAACAATTTTTTCAAGTTCACATTTGTATAGCATTGAATGGAATGGGTAGTATGAATGACAAAATGAAAAATGAAGTGAAAGTCAGCAGTCACGGCTTATTTTAAGATACTACTGCAGTCCCTGCTTGCTGAGACAAATGCAATGCCAGGATGGCTGGCCACTACACCAGTAGTTGAAACCTGAAGGAGTGATAATCACTCAAACATGACACTCAGTGGTCTCAAAGAGAGATGATTTCTTTTCATCATTATGAATACTTTAGCAGAGGAGGCTCTTGTATCCAAGTACAACATTTGACACAAACATCAAACCAAACTTTAACCCTTTGCTACATTTAACACAAAAGAATGTAATGAAATTAAAATAAAATATCCCTCCCATGTGAGTAGGGGTTATGAAGGTCAAAGAGACAATTAATACAACACTGGACACAGCAGCACTTCAAACACTGAGAATTTAAAATATTGTCTAATTAAGTTTGAACTGTTTGTCTGAAGCATTGTTAAATCTATTGCTTACTGAAGCATGCTTGTATATATAACATATACAGCCCTTTATCTAATTAGTAGGTCTTATTATTAAGCTTGACCCATACTAAATTAAGTTGATTAATGCCAATAAAGGAATACGGTAGAAAATTTAATATAAAATTAATTATATCCGAGTAATGTTGGTATGTTACTAATGGTCAATGAACATTTATGGACTTCGTTTGAATCATACATAAACATAGATACAGAAAATGAACACCGTACAGCATAAATCATGCATGTTTCTTAACATTATCACTTGAATCATGCTATTATTTCAACTTTATATCAAGGCAGAAAGTAATATGAATTGAAATTTCCTTGTGCAACCCAATAAAACCATCAACTTTCATGTGCTCTGTCACTAAATTAATTCTTTCTTCAACAAGTTTTCTATCGATCTAGTTTTCCAAAATATAAGCACCACACATTTCACTGCTAAACAAGCTTTTCTTTGTTACGTTTACAGGATTTGTAATAGACTTCATATCAGGCCCTGTCTCATCAGGATTCACGTCAGCAGCGGCTCTAATCATTGTGACATCACAAGTCAAAGATATATTGGGTATACATGCATCAGGAAACACTTTTATTGAAAACTGGGACAGTCTGTTTCATTCTATGAAAGATACAAGGACATGGGACACAGTCCTTGGAGTAGCCTGCATTGCAGTTCTGCTCCTCATGAGGGTAAGAATAAAATTCTTTCATTTCCATTGATTATATATCTTCAAGCTTGGTAACGAGGGCTTAGGTAAAAAATTCTGTTGATGGACAGATAAAACTTCCCCATCATGAACTCTTCATACAAAGTGCATAACAATACATCATTTGAAGAAAAAATGGGGTAATATAAAATGTGTACCTTGTCAAAAGCAACAAGTTTGAAAAATATTTCAGCCTCTTGAGTATTTAAGCAAATAAATCTAAAAATGTAAATATGCCTTTTGAGCATGCCTTCCTATGTACATCCACTGAATATTCAACAAACTGTGACCTAGTCATTCTGACTGCTCTTTAAGAAGTATCAAAATATTCTTTAGGGATAGGGATGCATGGAAATCGAGTTCCCCCTCCCACTAAAAAATTCATTGCTGAGCTTTTGGTTTATGACTCTATTTTCCAATGAAATTTTGTCAGAAACAAGTCATCTGAGGAAGTTTCATGAGTTTGAAACTGAAGTTTTGCAACGCTTCCCATAAACAGCACATCTTTTAGCAAAGTAACAACTCCATGGAACACTGCCCATCATGCATAGCAAATAGTCATGAAATTCCTCATATTTTATGAAAGTGAAGGTTTGTTACCATGTTTGCAACAAACCTCTAAAGGACCCTATCCTGAGCCAGATGAACCCAGTCCACATCCTCATCACTACTCTTTTTTATATGCATTTTAATATTATCCTCCCATCTGTGCATAGTTCTCCCAAGTGTCTTGCAGCAAATCACTGTAAATGTACATATTTTGAAGATAATATTTATAGAATTGATTGCTACCTTCCTTGTAGTTACTGACCATGGTGAAAGTAGGACCTAAAGATGAAACACAGATGACTACAACGCAACGAGCTATAAATAAGTTACTCTGGCTCATTGGTACATCCCGCAATGCAATTCTTGTTGTAATCTGTGGTTTCATTGGCTACCATTTTGAAAACACAGATACAATTAAAATAACAGGTGAGTATCAAGTGAATGTAATCTGTACCTTAGTTTTTCTTTTAGTTTCTTGGGGTGGGGTGAGACTGAGTCCACTTGGTAACTCGGCCACTAACTGGCCTATTGTACAAGCACTGGATGACAGATGATGAGTGTGGAGCAGTTGGAGGAATGAAAATTGGCAGGGAAAACTGAAGTACTTGGAGAAAACCTGCCCCAGTGCCACTCTGTCCAGTACAAATCTCACATGACTTGACCTGGGCTCAAACCTGGACTGCTGTGGAAGGAAGCTGGTAACTAACTACCTGAGCTATGCCATGGTCTTTTTTTTTATTGTTAGTGGGGTGGGACTAAGTCCCTTGTACTGTGGTCAATTCTGGCATATTGTACCAGCCCCAGATGATAGGTGAGGGTAATTGTGGAGCAATTGGTGGAATGAAGATTGGCAGGGGAAACCGAAGTACTCGAAGAAAACCTGCTCTAGTGCCAGTTTGTCCACCACAAATCCCACTTGACCAGACCCCCGGGATCGAACCCGGGCTGCCACGGATGGCACAGTCTTAATTTGTACATTACCCCGATGTCAGCAGGACTATAAAATTTATTATTAAATACATATTTCTGTATATAATTTCCACCAATACAGATTCTATGCTACTTGTCAGGTACAATTTTGAAGTAATGCATCATTGCCTTGCTTGTAATTGTTTACATAAAAAGAATATTTGATACATAATTTGTAGTGCTTATGATTAATCTCCATACAAAATTTCCCATGAATAATTCCAGTATTTCACAGGTACTTCCATTAAACTGAAAGAAAAATATAGTATCATTTATGTGGTCAGCACACTGTTGTTCTATATATGTATATACAACTAATACAAACTGCATGCTTTTGAAACATCTACCACCATACAAAATTTCATGCTATCTACGAAATTCTCTTGGCTGTCATGTTGGCATTAGTGACGGCAACTAAAACACAATAAAACAAAATATTACAAAAAGAAGTTTACTAGGGTAGTCCCTGGAGAATTAACCAATTGTATGCAGTAAACAACTTCATTATCATAAAATTCAGAACAACAAATACTCAATTAAAACGTCATTAAGGAATACTAGAGGGTTAACACATGGAAGGGTATGTCCATTAGTGAGCCAGCTGCGTCCTTTATAGAGACAATTGATCACTACTTCCTCTCATTATGAAGATCCCACAACTGGCTTCTGTGCAGTTCTGCATCAAATCTGAATAAATGGCGTTTCTAAAGAATTGTTAAATTATTTTGCATAAACTTCCATTTAGATTTTTATCATCAGATAATTACATCACAAGTAACCACTACTTATATCCATTTAAAGATCCTCTAAGGCCTCTCCTTGAAGGACAATCGTTGGTTTATAAAAGAAGTCAAATGTAAAACTTAGTCCCCACTGTTTCTACATTTTTTACACTCCACCTCTGTCCTTTCTGAATGTTGCTTCACTTTGCTGTAGACATGTTATGGCTTTCTGGAGTATACTGGTTAGTAGGCATCGGGCCTAGCTTAGCATGAATCCATTATCTCAGCTGAAACTGGTGGTGCATAAACAGATCTCAATGGCCTCCTTCAGCAGAGTGATTCACATACCTTGTTATTCTGTCTAGTAAAGTTGTTTCATCAAAATATATTCCATGGATTGTTTTTACATTCTGTTCTAGTAGATTTGTTTGGTTGGTAAGATATGCTATCTGTACCTGGCTTCCATAATAAACAAATCTGTTTGTGCTACATGTACTAAGTTCAACAACTTAACAGCACTTCTTATCAATCTGCAACTGACCATACACAATTTACATTGTATATGAATGTGGTACCAAGGAGGCTCTTGGATACCCTCTGTAACATTCATTAATATTTATTCACCGCATTTCTGATGCATGGATGTTAATATTTATAGGAAATATCACTCAAGGACTTCCAGAATTTAAAATCCCTCCGTTTGAGTTCTATGACAGCACTACAAACCACACTGTAAGTTTCACTGACATGTGTTCGACCCTGGGTACTGGCCTCATCATAGTTCCTCTCGTGGCACTGTTGGAAAACATTGCCATTTGCAAGGCCTTCTGTAAGTAACCACACCTGATTTTATTTATCTGAGTTTATATTAAAAAGATGCTGTCGAGGTGAACAGTTTTCTTGTACGTAGGCAAGTCAATAAGTAAGTTACTTAAACAAATAAGAGTACTGATTTGAAAAATGCTTTTGTTTCTCTGCATAATCTCCGTGTACATTGAGGCACTTGTCCCATCGTTTCACAAGCCCCTGAAAACCAGCAGCATAACATTCTTTGGGCTGCTGTCAGAACCAGGCGTGTTCACACGGCATGGCCTACCCCATAATGCATGACGGGTTGCATGCTTCCGTTGAATGGCCTTACAAAGTTTCCTGACGATGTTACAGTAGGAGTCGGCATTTACGGTTTGTCCTTGAGGCCGGAATGCGGTGAGCAGTATGCCTTTGTGATCCCAGAAGACTGTGAGCATCACTTTCCTGGAGGATGGTGTCACCTTAATCTTTCTTTTGGCAGGCGATGCAGGATGTTTCCACTGCATTAACGCATGCGTTGTCTCAGTCTGGTAATGGTGAACCCAAGACTCATCACCTGTGACAATTTGGGCTAGCATATCATTTTCTTCCTTGTGGTAGTGATTGAGATTCATTCATTTCCTTTATTTTCCATATATCCATACAGGCAAAAATCCTAGGATGTGGAAATAGTCCATTTGATTATAGATGTATACATGTAATAGATTACATAAGTCACACAACTAAAATAACACACACCAGTTAACTAACATAGGTAATATAAAAAAAAANTTACCAACTATATTAAAATGTGGCGTTAAGCATTCAAATTTATGTTCCTTTGTAATTAAAATTAAAATTAAGATGCTGTAATGCCAGACCCATTCTTTGCATTTTGTGTTGTGGGGCCAGCATGTGCGGCACCCATCGTGCACAGACTTTGTGAAAACCTAACCTGTCATGCATTATGGGGTAGGCCATGCTATGTGAACACGCCTTGGTTCTGACAGCAGCCCAAAGAATTTTATGCTGCTGGTTTTCAGGGGCTTGTGAAACGGTGGGACAAGTGCCTCAATGTACAGGGAGATTATGTTGAGAAATAAGCATTTTTCCAAGTTAGTACTCTTATTTGTTTAAGTTCTGTATCCATTTGTAACTTACTTATTGACTTACCCTCATATCACAAATATTTGTACATGTTAAAAGTACAAGATCATTAATCTAGACTTCCCTCATAACTGCATGTTGTATAAAAAGAGGACATGGCATGACATGTTCATTTTATTATTACTTTCAAAATAAAAGTTGGAGGTCATAAAGAGAAATACTTTATGCCTACATCATTTTTTTTGTACAATGTAGTAGTATTTAGAAAATTCAAAAGGACAATTCAAGATTCACATAAAAGAGGTTATTCTTCTGGCTGACACATATCAAAATTAAATTAACTGACAACATTTATACTTCCCCAATGTCAAATCTGTGTCATAACCTCTCCATATTTATCCATTTTATGCACTCTCTACATACAACACATCAGTATTCATATTGTGGTTTTCTTGGTTATGGCACTGTGTAGCCTTACAGATGTTTACCAATGTTTCAGAGGTACACCTTGTACATCTTCAAGGTAGGTGTGACTATAGATAGGGTTTGAATCAGTTACTGGAATTACTGAACTCTTACAGAACATACTACAAGTAAAGAACACAGTCTCCAAAGATCATTGTAACTACAGCACACAGTCTCAGTCTTTACTAGCCATTGCTTGTAGTGGCTTCCAACAATGGACGTTTCCTTCCTCTGAGTTCTCAAACTGTCCCCAGCCTCAACTACTGGCTTCTCACTCCTCATAACTGCAACTCACATCTGACTCAATCAACAACTCAGAGTCAGTGTTGCAGTAACTTTACAAGCGGCAGTTTACCGCCAATCAGTTCAGCTTGGCAAAAAGCCCCTTGAGACTCACAACCAGTATTTATTTTTTTCCCAACTGAACACTTGCGGTCGTAGTCCTTATGTAACATCCTCTCTGATGATGAGAAGATGGGTCTGTCATTTACAATTGCTGCTGGCCTTTGCCAGTGCAGTCACTCTCACGGCCGAGTCCTGCGGTACTCACGACCATATTTTACTGTCTCAGATTCAAGACTCCCCCAACTTGGAGGGCCAGGTCCCCATATTTATATCCACCAGGAACGGGGTGGCCCAGTTATATCTCCACGCACTGGGTTCCCTTTTCATCACATCCTATGACTCGCAGGGCTATGGTGGAGGTATTCGACCATGCGTCAATAATTCAACTACTAATTCTTGTGTTAGAGCACACAGAAAACATTTCTTCCATTATTATGTGCTGATGTGTCTGCACAGTATGATCAAAGCTTATACAGTTCTAAGCAATAGTAATTAAATATTACATTGTAATAATCGATGGCATAAACCTAATTACCAGAACTCAAATACCTGTTAAGTGGTTACTGGAAAATTTTACATGGAATCAACTTTACCATAAGAATGTAGCTAAATACAGTTTGTTAATGCAGCTCACCATTAATAAATGTTATGAAATTACAGGGTAATTCACACAGAAACAGAACACAATGAATCAGGATAACAGCATAAATTGGACAATAAAATAATATTTCAATCACAAACCAATTCATGTATTACATTTTATTCGCAGAACAAATAATTGTTTTCATAAATACCATCATTCAACTTTGTGTTGGTACAGAAGTGTTTTCACACACACAAAAACTGTAATATAATGCACAGATTATTTTCAACCACAAAAAATTATGGTAAAGCTAACCACATACACTGGGTACGATACTGTCTTTGATATAAGCCGGTAGACTTTGTCAGTAACATGAAGTTACATGATTGTTGTCAATAACCACATACTATACTTTGCCGCTGATCACACATACCACCCTGAATGTAAAGCATGCGTCAGTAAGCACAAAGATGGGCTTGAATTAAGGCTGACTGTCTTCATGTTGCAGCAAATGGAAAACCTGTTGACGCAACTCAGGAACTTCTAGCAATGGGTGTCTGTAACATTGGAAATTCTCTTGTGCAAGGATTTCCAGGGTCAGGCTCACTATCTCGTAGCGCAGTCAACAACTCTAGCGGGGTCCGAACCCCACTTGGTGGTCTCTATACAGGTATGCTCCATATTTCATTTAGTAGTCAGGAAGTCGCTAGAACATTACTTGAAATATCACAATAATGAGAATACTTCTCTCTAGAACTCGCCAGATAGTCTAAAGATGCACTTTATTTAACAATGCTTTCAAAGCTGCAAAGGTAATGTCTTTTCAAATGGGAGGATAACTGTGAATGAAGAATTAAGGATATGGAAGGATCTGTGACCAATTTTAAGGTAGTCCTAGTACAATATGCGACCAATAGGGATCCCTCTATCTCCTTCCACACCACATGACCTACAATACAGGTTAAGCAACATTATGCTTGGTAAGCACTTGGATTAGTAGCTGCATGGGAACACTTGTTGCTGACGGCTTTTTGTTGCACTCAGTGGACATTAAATGAGTATTTTTTTATAACATTTATTTTCCTCTTCACTACCCCTACTGGCTTGGACCAGCACCAGCTCCCCACCCTTCATCCCATGGTCTGTTGGACCAAAACCCATGTACAGAAGAACACTCACTCACCCTCCTCACTTTGTCACTGAAGATGAAGCTGCATATACTACCAAAACATCACATAGTGCAAAGAGTCAAAAGCAAAACAATTATAAATATTTTAAAGTATTGGAACAGCTGCTGTAGTTGTAAAGACTTCAGATTTTACAGCCAATTATATATTGTTTATATTGTATGTATATATTTTAACTTTTAGAACATGTACTGTAATCGTGGCTTCTAACTGTATTGATGTAAAGGTGTCCCTCTGAAGATGGTCTCTGAAGACTGAAACATGTAAGGGCACGAATAACTGAAATTAGAAAATCTTAACCAGTCACACTGGATAGAACTATTTAACTTTTCATTGCAGAATATATTTTTTTTATTTTTTATTATTCTTAGTGGGGTGAGACTGAGTCCACTTGGTACTGCGGCCACTACTGGCCTATTGTACTCATCCCAGATGATAGATGATGGTGACTGTGGAGCAACTGGTGGAATGAAGATTGGCAGGGGAAACCGAAGTACTTGGAGAAAACCTGCCCCAGCTCCATTTTGACCACCACAAATCCCACATGACCAGACCAGGTCCCCAGGCCACCACGTTGGGAATCCAGCGACTAACCGCTTGAGCTATGACACAGCCTGAAAGCAGAATCAACTTCCAACATTGAACAACTTTCAAAGCCTAAAATCAGTACTCCCCTGCATGGTGCCCAGGCACAGCGGTAACATTACCAATATTATGAACATTCATGTTGAAAATTACTATAAGAGTAAAACTGTCTCTTGTCCAGTATTACAAGTCAGTGATCCTAATAACAAAGAAAACCATGACACAAACAAAATTGATATATTTAACACCATCAGACCTTGGAATAAGAATATACAGTTGTGGATACAGGTATTTATATAAAAGATATTATCAGAAAACTATACATCCTTCCTTTATAAAATCAGAGAACTAGCACACTGCTCAGTATTTTATAGATGCTGCACTCATTATAACCAGTACACGTACATGAAATTATTCCGTAACACACTTTGTTTTATCAAGCACTTTCATTATCATGTACATTTTGTTTATACAGGTTTGCTGGTAATGTTGTCATTGCTGTTCCTCACGCAGTACTTCTTCTACATTCCCAAGGCAGCACTTGCAGCCATTATTATTGCAGCTGTCATATTCATGGTAGAAGTCCATGTTGTGATACCAATGTGGAAAACAAAGAGTGAGTACATGCTTGCCAAATGTACAAGGTCAGGACAGCCACAAAATTCTGATCGATGAAACCAACATCAACCATTTGTGGATCTATTAAAAGGAACGAAATTACAAGTCAAAGCAAAAACAGTCCCTTGTAAATTTGATACTGTAATGCTTACCTTATACGGAGCAGTTATTATCTCACCATCCAAAACCAGTTGCAATCTCGATACCAGTCTTTGTCCGCTTGTTACATCACTGTAATGCCGCTGCTCAGTCATGGCACTGGCCTCATCTTTCTTCTTCTCTCTGCTTGCACTGAAGTAACTCGAGATTCACAGCACTCTGTATTTTACATCTTCTTGTATACACACATCTGCAATTTGCTTCTCTTCTTGCCTTCTGCCATCAATAAAGGCTATCCTTTCCAGAATTTTACAGGAATCCACAGAAAACTCCAAAGTGACAAGCACAATTCCTACTCCTTGCCAATTACTATAAGGATTATAAAGTCAAGGATGAAATGAACGTGATGTATAGCACAAATGGGAGGGAAGAGAAATGTGTACCCATATTTGATTGGAACACATGAAGAAAAGAGAGGCGTTGGCAAACAGATCTTAAACAGGATATGAACTATGGGGTTCAAATAAAAGCAGAATATTTACTGGGTAGCTAAATAACTGTTAGCTTATCAAGCAACACTCTACTCTTTAGAATTTGGTTAATTTAGAAAGTGGTTTGTTTCGCCACAGGGGCGAGAGGTAGTTCTTTACTCTAAAGAGTCCAGAGTGCCACTGGGGCCCATCCAGCCTCCCACCCAATGGGTATCGGGGGCTTCTTCCCCAGGGGTAAAGCGGCCAGGGCATGAAACTGACCACTCACCTCCATCTAGTGCCGAGGTCAAGAATGCTAGAGTTATACCTCTATCCCCTCATACGTCTTTATAGCATTAATTTAAATATTCTCTACTTGCCTTTATGTCAAAATGTCTCCTGTAGCGATGTTTACTCAACTGCTTTTTCTGTTGTCTCGAATCAATCACCTGTCATTCACTGACGAAATATTCACTTCCCTTTTCCCTATTTTCATTCCCTTTTACGCTGCGGAACTAACTGCTTCAGATAACTGCTGCTTCTTGAATTCTTGAAACACGACCGGAAAGATCGAATTTCAATTGCCTCCACTATTCAATTCGATTCTCAAGGTATCGATAATGACGTTACCAATCCTAAGAAAACGCGCCAATTAAAATTTAGTGCAAAGATGCATTCTGTCAGAGTTCACGAGTTTTCAAAATGAATTATAAGAAATTTCAAGCGTTCTTTACAACGTAAAAGGAGCACTTCGTATGGAGGTCATGTCTGTGTATTTTTTACCTAGACGTAGGCTTTCTTAAATTTCAAAATGGGAGATGTTCATGAAAGGTTGTTAAGGCAATTCTGATTTCCAGTTCTACTGAATCATAATACGGCTCAGTTTACGTAAGAGTACAAATGAACTCTTCCATATGTGTAATGAAGTTTTTCACAGATATTATTAAATTATGACATACAGCTGCCGCCAAACATTGTTGTGCAATTTCGATTTTCATATACATTAATCTATAATAATGCATACTTTACAGAAGACCATAAAGGGAATTTCCTCTGTATTCCACAAACATTTTTCACAGATTTTGTTTAAGTTCTGTATTGCCCCTGTTCCAAGTGTGTTTATTTAATGTAAGTCATTATCAGCCAATTTAGAATTTCAGCCATATTTACACAAACAGAAGTTCATGTAGGAGCAGAAATAGATTTCCATATATTTCAGAAACGGTTTAACAGTTACTGTTGGAATTTGATATGTGAGATTTCTCAATAAAAAATGTTGAGCATTTCCTATGTTCAGTCTTACTGATCCATAATAACGCCTACTTCATATGAGTATATTAGTCCTGCATTCATTGTTACTTTATGAAATATTTTACTGATGTTTTATAGATGTGTAATATTATTAATCATTCCTAATATTATCACTGCACACTATATACTTTTAAATATAAATCATAGATTTCACCATTCAGAAAACTTACCAGCTGCTTTTATGTCATACAGAGAGTGACTTGATTCCTGGAATTGGCACCTTTATAGCGTGCCTTGTACTACGACTTGAGATTGGGATTCTGGTGGGCATTGGCATCAACATTTTGTTCATATTATATCACGCTGCTCGTCCAAAGATAGCCATTGAAAATCAAGTGGTAAGCATTATTATTAGCACAAATTATTTGTACTACTCATTAATAAATTATCGTCTGAATTAAGGGCTGAATGTTCTGATGGCTTATTGTCATAGAATATATCTACAAATGGCTACATTTACATACAGAAAAGAAACTACTAGAGTATGTGTGCATGAATGAACCACAATTTATGCAGTTTAACTTTACCACCTTCATGTTTATACACTTGGTCGTCGACTTACGACCACAAAAAAATAAAAAATTAAAGCTGATTAAAATGTAACAGTTTTTAAAAATAAATTATAAAAATGATAAAAAGATTAGAAAGGTTAAACAATACTGTTAATAAATATATGGCCGACATATGACCAGATCGACTTACGGCCTGTCAGTCAGAATGGAAGTCGGTCGTAAGTCGACGACCAAGTGTACAAGATTTAAAAGAAAGATCTTCTATATCTTTTGTTTTAAAGTTACCGTGCTATGTATATTCTTCATAGAACTAAACTTATGTACCTAGAAGATGAATATTAAATCTGCTAGTTGCTGAATACTAAGAGAGGAGAAAAGATGGAAATTACTAGTCACAAGTCTGTACCTGTAATTTTGGAACAAAGTAATAATGAATATACTTTCTAATTCCAGACAACGGAAGGGGTTGAATATCTATTACTCACTCCAGATCGCTGTCTCATCTTTCCTTCTGTCGACTATGTGCGTAACCTGGTGACCAAACACAGTATTAAGCAAGCAATTCCTGTAGTTATTGACTGCTCACATATCTATGGAGCTGATTTCACTGCTGCAAAGGTACCCATTATTTCTTAATATATATCAATATATATTGAACATATTTAAGTAATCATGCATACCAATTGATGACCAAGTCAATTGATTTTCTTAATCATATCAAGTTGCACATGTCACTACTCAGAAATAACTATAGCTATTAAAGTCACTACTCTCAACCAAATGCAGCCACAATTACTAATAATTAAATTACAAACCATTCATGCAATCACCGATAAAGAAATTCTGATACATAAAGCTAGCATGCTTATCATAGTCTGTTAAATAATACTGAAATCTAATGACATATTACGCTTCTATATACACTTTGTACTTTAAACATATGGCTGGAAACTTGGTTTATCAAATGGCCTTTATGATGATATTTCTAGAGTACTGAATATTACTTTGATAACCATAATACTGTAACTTTGTTCTTTGATTTATCTGTATCTTATAATTCAGCAGGTCAGTCCAGTAGTAATTCTCTAGACTTGTATTCACGAGATACTCAGTTTGAATCTCAGCCATGACACCAGCTATCCTGGTTGAGGCTCTTCATGGTTTTCCTCAAACTCTTGAGGCAAATTCCAGAATTGTACCTTGATTAGGGTACAACAACCTCCTTCCAAATCCTTTCCAATTCATCATCAGCTAACCTATCATACAATGTTATACAATCTTGTTGCTGACAGCCTTGTTAAACAACTGACTTAATAAAGCCTGAATTTCCCCATAAGCAAAGCTTGGATAATGTCTTGGAATTGTCTATATTTACTACATCATTATATATGAATATCTGATTACATTTTGTTTTTTGCAGGTGGTAGAGTGTCTAACACAAGACTTTTCATCACGCAAGCAACCATTGTTCTTTTACAACCTTAAACCCAGCGTGGTTGCTGTATTTAATGGGTTACAGCCAAAAGATTTTGTTGTCTACCACTCAGAAGAAGAGCTTGATAATCTTATCAGAGGTGGGTGCACAGTGCATTGTTTTTAACAAAAATGTGGGCAGAGATCTTCACTATGCCAATTCATTCAATAAAAATAAACTGTCTCTCTTCACAGTGTGCATCCTATTGTGTGTCATAAACATATTTGATTAAGTTTAGCCATCATCGCAACAAATGATTTATAATCGATCAGTATTTTACAGGTCAAAATTTATTTCCTGCTACATATTTCGGTCCTCATTGGACCATCATCAGGCAGTAATAATGAATATGTCTATGGTCACTGAACTCCTAATGTGGCTCCATACTTGGTGCAATATGTCATACTCATAATACAGACTGCGTCTCAAATTACAATATAAGTACTAAAATTAAATATAGTAAAAGTATACCTAGGAATATATTAAAAATATATATTGTATATTGGCTTTATATTAAAGTAAATAAGATGCATGAAAATTATATATATCCAATTTCAAGTTTAAAATGCCCAAAGTTACGTTGTTATATTGCATGGATCCATGTTGTTAAGTGTCCACATTGTGAAAAGTCATAGTGCCCAGGGGTATGAATGATATGAAAGTGTATTATGGAAGCTATTGTGAGGGGCTGTTGTGTATACTGCTATGTACACATGTTCACAGATATAAAGCCATGCGATATTTGTGGTCGTTAATTATTCATATGTTCTTCCTTGTATGGTCCTTATATGTACAATATGTCATCGGTCTTTGCTCAATGTGGACCCCACTCCTATACATAATTTTGCTTTCTTGCATTGTGTGGTTTGTTGCTTACCATATTCACAGCATTAACAGTTTTTGTGCCTCATGCATAGTGTGGGGTTTTATGTCTTTGTTCTTCGTCATTACTCCGATGACAACCCACTTCTTCGGAACAGTTTGTTGGTCCTGAAAAGGACCGTGGTTGCTGAGATATTTGATCGGTGAGGTAGCACGGCGCGCGCCGGTAGGGAGAGAGGTTAGTTGCGGTGGTTTGACTGGCCACAGCGCGGCCGTTGCTGGAGGTTGCTTGATCGCCGTGCGGCAGGTGAGTTGAAGTTGCGTGGTCGCGCAGCGCGGTCGCAGGACTGATGAGGCAGTGGCTACGCCAGATGCCCAGTGGGTCGGACAGGGACATGACCACTGGCGAGTCCAGGTGAGGTGCCCCAGTGCGTCGGGTATGAGAGCCGGAGGGCCGACGCAGTCATGCCTGGTGCAGCCTGCCGATGCCTCCAAAGACCGAGCGCTGGCAACAAAGTGTGCTGGCTGATGTAGATTGATCAAAGACTGAAGTTTGACTGATGCTGCAGGTTTTGGCTGCTCCTTTTTATACACTGCTCGGTGGGTGGAGCGAAACTTGAAATTGAGGAGGAAGAATTTGCAGGGCACTGATTGACTAGCGCGCGTGATGATGTAGATGTGGGGCTAGCAGCGAGCGCAGTATAAATGCGAACGTTTGGAACAATTTGATTGGTTAGCGCGCGTGATGGTGAAAAGTGATGTGAAGGGTGTGCGTTGCAGAAAATGCGTGATAATGTGGGATGTTCCCACAGTACTGCTATGTACACATGTTCACAGATATAAAGCCATGCGATATTTGTGGTCGTTAATTATTTGTATGTTCTTCCCTGTATGGGCCTTATATGTACAATATGTCATCGATCTTTGCTCAATGTGGACTCCACTCCTATACATAATTTTGCTTTCTTGCATTGTGTGGTTTGTTGCTTACCATATTCACAGCATTAATAGTTTTTGTGCCTCATGCATAGAAACAACTTTACTTTCTATCCTTTGGCTTCTATGACAGACAAGTTCTCCAGCTTTCACATACTGATAGGATCTTTTGTATCATGTATAAATTAGAAAGCAAATGATAGCAGTACTGGAATGATAATAGTAATTCTGTGATTTTCTTCAACAGCACACAAGAAGCTTACCGAAGAGCATCGGATCCGAAGTGACATCAGCATAGTAACTACTGGGTAATAAACACAAAGAAATATTGTTCCTCTGGCAGTAAATGTCCTAAGGAACAAAGAACAGGAACATGACCTAAATGGTGCAATCATCATCATGGGAACTATGACAAACTGATGAAGATTCAATCATCATTATCCTATTGTATTTGCAGAAACAGAGATGGGCTAGTTCAAAAGGGGAATAAAAACTTCCTAAAAACTGTGTTTTTCACATAAAGGATTCCAAGAGATCATCTCATTGTAGTGACCAGAATCTTGTGGGTGGAATACAATCAGTAACATATTCACACCGAGTGAAGAGAAGGGTATGCAAGCCATGATGAGGAACTTGGATACTTTCACAGGCTGGACCAGAGAAAGTAAAAGTCTGAAACAAATAATATTAGTGGCTTAGCATATCCCTTAATACTTAGTTTCCAAGTTCTTGAGATACAAAGTTACTATATAGGTAAATCGGTTTTGTTTTTAGGGCTACAGGCTCTGTAGTTTGCTCACTCCAATCACAGACACATACAGACTACTACTTTTCAACTACAATGGAAGAGGTACACTAAAAACTTAACCAGCATGCAAATACAGAAGCAAAAATTAATGGATATGACAAAAAAATTCTATTGAACTGATGTTATGGTTAAATGCAATTTAATCCAATTATTTAACTGATGGTGAATTTCCAGTTTATAAAACACAGAATAAAGTAATATATTTTCATGAGCCTTACTTCTTTATAAAAAGAAGAATAAGAATAATAGGTTCTAAACAGTGCAGAGGAATTTCATAGTGATCACTGCATTTGTGTGTCTGGTTATTTATATGCTATCCGTATTTTAAGTTCTGTATCATTTATCAAAATTATTCAGAATTGCCCAGTCGATACATCTATAGTTTAAAATTTATGAATCCCATCTGAAGAGGGGAGGTACAAATAGGAGAGAGATGTGCTATTTGTCCCACAATCAAAACAATGAGTCAGCAGTGAGGCTACCTGAATTATCAGAATTAATTCTTTTGGGGAGGGAGTAAACAGAATGAATGATGAATGGTAAAGCTTCCCCTGCACTTAGTTAAGTACCAACATCATCTGTGGAAAAGTGGAGACATAGTTTTCAACAGTCTTAAGCTTGGCATCTGATGGAGCTGAGTGGTCATTTTTGTGTTCTGTCCACTTTTCCTCCATGGAACAGCCCCTGGTATCATTGAAGTAGGAGCCTGGGGAACTACAGAGCCAACCTGGGCACTGTGGAAAAGAGTAACCTCACACTGCCAATTTACCTGATGATAAAGTTAGAGGCATGAGTCTATAGTCACCTGGGACCATGTAGCATTTGTGAATTCCACTCTCATAAATTTCTATGGTAACTTCTTCTTCTTCTATGGCACAACAGCCCGATGTCGGGCCTTGGCCTCCCTTATCAAGCCCCTCCATTCTTCTCTGTCCTGCGCTGCTCTCTTCCAGTTCCTTATACCCCTTAACTTCTTTGCATCTTCTTCCGCCGCATCAATCCTGCCCAGCCCATTGCAATCTTTTAAGCTTTATCGTCACCGAGATTTNGTCGCCTATTGAACTATATATTTTCTTTGGGATACGCTCCTTATCCATTCTCTGTACATGCCCAGCCCATTGCAATCTTTTAAGCTTTATCGTCACCGAGATTTCTGGCTCCTTATATAATTTGTATAACTCTCTATTACTCGTATATCTTATTCTCCATATCCCATTCTCTCTTATTGGTCCATAAATTCGTCTTGGGATTTTCCTCTCGAATAAATTGATGACTGATTCCTCTTTCTTGTTTAGCATCCAAACCTCACATCCATAATAAAGCACCGGTCGTATCATTGTTTTATATATATTTTGTTTTAATCGCTCGATGTATATCCTTTGATCTAAAAACTGATAGTAACGAGAAATATGCATTATTCGCCAGTTTTATTCTTCTTGTTATTTCATGATTTTCCTCTCCATCTTTGTGTTCTATGGTAACTACAGTGTATCATTTTTACAGTTTCAATAGTTATTAACATAACCTTCGATTTATACATTAATGAGGCTTCTATACCTTGTCATATCTGCATTCTTGTATAATGAGCAGCAGCCCAGTCATTGGAGAATGGTGTCCTTTGCCCAAGACCAAAAATGGGGAAAGCAAACAGTACTGGTTATGAAGAACTTTTGAAATATATTTATTTATTCATAATTTCATATTAGGTTATTATACTGAGGCCAGGTGGTGAATTCAGAGCAGCATACCGGAGGGGGAAGCATAACAGCTTCACAGAGATGTGGAAGGAAAGAGCATTGTATGTTTAGTATTCTTTTTCTGTAAGTCTTACATTTTTGATGTAATTGATCAGATCGGACACTACGTGCACATTTCAAAATTCATATATTTAACCACCATGGCATCCTGATCATCTGAAACTTGGCTTATCCTTGTTTTTTGAATTTGTGCATTTTCTCCTCTCCATTATCAGGGACAATAGGAAGTACATGCAATTTTAAAGATGATATAGGGGCATCATAAATGGGGTCCGGGGGATAAGCAATAACCCAGATATTGCCTACTTCTGTACATGCAGCATACTCGTACTATACCTAGACTTCTTCCACATCCATAAAATGCATATTATATATCTACCTATCCATCCATGAATTCACTCACTCAGCTTTTGAACATTAATTTTGCTTTTTGAGGATGTCTTTATTATTAGTGTCTAATTTGGGGAGCACAAAATCCTACATTTTGTAAACAATTTCAAAACGTTTTAATATTCCATATTAAATGTATCCAAGAACACCCAAGATGCTGTCTACTAATGTTTTCAGTCTGTATTCATCCTTCAAACAGATCACCTGGTTGAATACCATTCAGTAATACAGTGAAAATTGTTAAGGTCTTTTGAAAACCTGTTGAACTCACTTTTGTACTAGTGAATTCTAAAGGGTTCTGATGGTGGTGTAAAACTCGCAGAATTACTGGGTTTTTCGATTTTTTCAAACATCCAGTATTCTAGAGAACAGAGAACACGATGTTTGTGATTAGCTCTTTCTAAGAGGCCCAACTGAGTAAATGTCTTCCCCTTCCTTCACCTGAGGATGGAAACAGATCCAGTTTCTGAAATGTCATGTTTTCTCTTCTCTAGAATACCGAATAATGGAAAAATTCACTTTTGTTCTGCCTAACAAAAATTAGGTAGTTACTCAAGAGATCATATAAATCAGTGCAGAGTGTGACTTTGTTTAGAAGAGTTAACCATGCAACACTCTATGCTCTGTAATCATGCAAGCAATGTGTTAACATTTCTTGTTTGGCTAACATGATAGCTTGGAATGTCATGCACTCCATCCTCCCCTCAAGTCTATGTACTGCAATTAATCTCTTCTAATTGCACCTGTTCTCACAGGCAACTAGGGTAAGCCTGAAGGACCTCACTAATACTACCTATGTTAGGCTGGCTGGAGATGGCAGATGGCACTATCTGATGGAGTACCACTGAACCATGAAAGTAACACTTTTTAGTTTAATCCTCAAAGTGTTAGCTGGGCTAACACAGTTAACATGAATGCTCTGCCACTAACATAAATATTTATTTTTAAGTCCAAACAATAAGACTGTTAGTATATGAGAAGATATTTAAATTGTATACAGTAGAAAAAATCCATAAATTTATGTTTATACTGTATCTATTAGGAGTTTGAGTCTGATTAGAATTAATGTTGCTAAGCTGCAAAGAGTACAAAATATTGGACCATATGCTTCCTTTAGGCATGTATGGACTAGAATATTAAGATATGTTGCAGATGTACACTGCATATTAAATTAAATGGAAAAATTTATCATCTTTTGACTATATGATACTGCTGACCATAGGCATGCTTAAATGGAGTCGAGATAGCAACTGAATTTTACTGAAGTGAGCTAATTTTATGCTCTTCAACGATCTTGCTTACAAGGAACGATATAGTAAGACAAGTGAAATGTCAGCTTTTCAGCTGCTATCTCTACATTCCTGTGTGCTGGTTAGCTGAGAACTATGGAATGATATTGACTGTGTATGTGTCCTATAACACTTCTTTTAAATCCTTTAGACCTTTTATATGTTTCTCATTACTGTAAAATTCTTGTAACACTTTCAGCGGATTGGTGCCATAAGCAATAAGCAGTAATGCAAATACAATGGAGAGCTGAAAGACATCATATAGTGCTGCATTTTGTTTGCAGAAAACTTAATAAAATATACATGTCTTAAATTGTTGGTATACTGTGAGCTGTTCACATTTATATGTTTACAATTACATGATAAAATAAAAAAAAAAATTCACTAAGTGTACTTATTAATTTCTGAAAGAAAATGGAACCTTTCTTTTTTCTCTGACAGGTATAGATACCAGAATATTATGTCAGGTATTATCTTGTCTTCCTTCAAGATCACAGCCAGCCATAGTAATTAAAGAGGATATTAACTGTAAATTAATTCTGCAAAAATTATACTTTCACTCGTTCATTTTTGAGATTTTGAGGTTATTGCTCCCATCTTTCTTAGCATCCTCAAATTAGGCAGTGTACACTGTCTTTTTTCACCTCAGACACAGACAAATTACTTTCAGTGAACTGGTCAATATTATGATTTCCTGTCACATCAATGGGAAATTAAATATGACAATGGAAAAGATTTGAAAAGGAATCAAATTGTGACCCTTCAGTATTAAGTGATAATCCATATTTTAGAGAAAATATTTTGGAAAAACGTTCAGAGGAGTTGAAAGAGAACAACCAACATTATGAACTTTTAAAGCAGCTACATCTCTTTCGGAAATCTAGTGACCTATGCATGCAAATTTCACTTCATTAAGAAAAAGTAATATTTCATGGAGGTGGGATCTTTACATTATGAGATTCCATTCATTTACAGTAAACAGTACAAAATTTATATGATGGTAACTTAAAATATGACAAGTGAATATGGGCATTCAATAACAGCCTAAGATGTAATAGAGTACAAATAATGAAAGCATAAAAAAGATAGTGAACTGAACACACAATTGATTACCTGAAATTTATGTTCAGAATATATATGTACGCATTATAAACTAATACAACTTTCAATTTTGAATTGCTGAAATAATGAACATCTCTGAATATAACCTAAACTTCTTGTACAGTTCTTGTTTCTTCAGTATTTAGAAACTTCTGTATTGTCTGCTCTTTGGTCAGTACAATTTATAGTAATTACATGAATTATATTGTCATGTGATAAGTGATTATAGATAGGGTTTGGATTGGTAGCTGGAATTAATGAACACTTAGACAACTCATGACTGCACTTACAGGTCACTATCACACACAGACTAGTGTTTCCAGTCATGGTCTTCACTGCTCTGCTTTGTATTGTCTTCCAACAGTAGATGTGCCTTTATTGCCGTCACAATATGGTAAATAAACTTAGAACAACGGGACTTTTAATAGACAAGGAAACAAAACATAAGCATTGAGTCCTTACTGAGGAGAAGTTAACTGACATAGGGGCCACATTTGAAAATACATTTAGAAAATCACTGAAATGTCTAGCTCAAGAGACTGGAGTGTCAGAGTCTAGTGCAAGAACAGCAACACAATTGCTGAAGCTTAGACCCTATAAAACAAAAGTAATCCATGATTTACAGCCGCATGATTCAGCTAGAAGGGGTCTTTTTTGCTCCATCCAGTGAAGTTTGGTGTCTGGTGTGCTGTAAACGCAAGGATTGTTGGACCTGTGTTTTTTAATGAAACAATGAATTGTGAAAGATATTTACAGGTCATTCTCGGACAGATCTTTTCAGAGTTAACAAAAGAAGAAAGGCTCTATGGCTGGTTTCAGCAAGTCTCAGCTACAGCCCATACTGCGCTTATGTCTCTGTAGTCTTTATCCAGTGTCTTCGGGGAGAGAATTATCGCCAGCACGTTCACTTAATCTTAGTCCTTCCGATTTTATCATCTGGGATTGTTTGAAGGACAAAGTTTACAGCAGTAACCCTCAAACAGAAGAGGAACTGAAAGAAAACGTTCTTAGGGAAATTTCAAATATTCCTGCAGAGCGTCTTCAGAAGGTAAATCAGCACCTCTTCCACCAGTTTGAGGAAATGTCTATGTGTAGAGGGCAGCATATTCAACACATCCTGTGATCTGTGAGCATAGGTAAGAACTTTCCTTCATTCCAAATGTTATCGGCATGCTGAGTCATCAGTGAAATTCGGGTGTGCGTCATGGCAGGCAATGCACTGTCACAGTGAAGCACAGAGCCGTGAACATGTCAAATTTATTAAAAAAACCTTAAATAAATAAATAAATAAAATGGTCCACAATTCAAGAAAACACCACTCGAGCTACAGAAGCTTCTGTTCATCACTTATGCACAAACTGCAACTTATGCGAAAAGGATTGACAAGAATGACTAATAGATGCTTCTAACTCCACTTCTGCCCATACTACTGTTTTCAAGCACAGAAATTTATTATTTAAAACTAGCTGCAAGGATCCAGACCTTGCCTGACTTAAGTTAGCAGTCTTCATTGTGGTTGAACACAGCACACTCAGAAGGTAATCTTATGTGAACATTTCCTTGGTGTCCCATATAATAATTGGTAACACATTAGATTCCTACAGAAATGCCCTTGCAAATCATGTTATTCAAAATATCTATAGCTTACCTGTGAAAATCTATGTTAATTTGTTTTCATTGACTGAAGTTGAGGCCAAAAATAAAGAAAACAGTGTATGAAGGAAAAAGTAGCCAGGAATATAAGAATACAGCACAAAGTTGTCACAATATTATTAAGTACTGAAGTCCAAGCTAATAAACTGTGGAGTAGTAACTTAAATTCTAGCTCACTGTATACTGTTTCAGATGGAAATAAATTATATTATTACAGGCTGAAATCTGTCTGATTTTTAAATACGTTAAATGTAAAAGGGAAAGCTGTCACAGTAACAGGCCATAGAGGCCCACAGGGCTGAGAGATATCAAAGCTCCCACACTTTCACGATAAACGGCTCACAGATGGCAGTGAGGTTGTCAGCCTTACATGCCGGCCACCCTTTACCCCCCAGAAAATTCCTGGTACTCATTTCTTTTAGAGGCTGAGTCAACCCCAGGGCCATAGTGCGGCTGGAAGGGTTAGTTTACTGAAAAATCCAGTGACCTCATCTGGAATGCAATCCATAACTTTACAGTAGCCAGGATAGTGCAGTCAGTATAGTAACTGACTATGTGCTGGACAGTCAAGGGATTTGAGTTCAAGTCCCGGTACAGGCAAGATTTTTCTTTTCTCCATATCATCCAGAGTAATTCTGGGGACCACCCCGCTTCCTATACAAGGGTACCCGTGGCCCTTTCCCTGCGGTTAAAGCGACCGGGGCGTGAAACTGAACACTCACCTCTAACTAGTGCCGAGGTCAAGAATACATGTATCTAAATATCCACTCCCTCATACATCTTCATGGTGTAATGTTTAATTAGTTAAGCACAGGGACAACTTTATCTTTCCACAGTACATTTACAGATCGAAATATTAAGGTTGTTACTATAGTTAATTTTCTGTATCTTTAATATTAAATTATTCTTTTGAACAGTACTAAATTATATGTATTTTTAGAACAAGTTTCATATCTACTTACTCAAAAGTTTTCCCTGACTGAAATAAATTAATCAGTGTAAACAACTGCATAACTTATTTTATTCATATTCATTATTTCAGCTTTATGATACAGTGCAAGTTGTAGATACTACATCAAGCTTTCTTTAAATAATTCAAATATATTAACTGTGTTGCCAACAATCACGATTTGCAACAACTTCAGTCCTGAGCAAATCACTCTAAACTTAACACCACGAAGTCAGCCTAACATACAGTTCATTGACTGCTATGCAGCACATTCATAATAAGTATACATAAACCAAAATATTACAAAGTCACTTCCATTTCAGACTGCAATACATCTTGTAGAGAACAAATTACAAAGGCTCCCTCTCAAAACACAACCAGAATGTCTGCTTTCTATTTCTGATAGGGTATCAACTTCTTGAAACCCTGAGTACAACAATATTCTCCTCCACTTTGAAACGTGTAAGCTGTTGTACTACCTGAATTATCACACAGACACCACTGAATTGGTTAGTAACAGGAAGTATAAGTTCCTTGCTGGACTAAGTTAAAGTGCTATGTCAGAATATATAACATTTGTTAACTTAAAAGAAAACCGGTTGCATTTTACTTGGAATATATTGCAGTCTTAACAGAGAACAGTACATTCTGAGTATCTACTTTGGTTGATTATACATAAATTAAAGTCTTTCTCTCAACAACAGTTTCCTCCTAGGAACAGAATTATTATGTCTGTCAGCAGTGCACACTACCAACAGACTTTCAACCATCTTGTATTGCAGCAGTAACAATTTGATCTAGACAACAGACAAGATCACTTACTTAAAATATTGGGTCATACTACATCCTCAGACAATATTACTGCCATGCATAATAGTACCTAATCTGTGTTCTCTTAATTAAGGAGTTTAATATAAAAATTATTACATGTCCTCCATCTTGAAGTTCATGTACTGCACTTTTCTTTAATGTGGGCATGAAATAAATTCATGTTATATAACTGGTGCACCAGTGACCATATTCAGTATCTCATGCAGGACAAGATACTGATGGACTAAATTGGCTTATTATTAGACTAAAACTTAAAACTAAATACAGTAACATAAATTAGGCACTTCCTTTGTATGTGTTGAGATACTGGCATTTGTGTGTGTTCAAGTATGATGAGAGCATAAGTTTGAAAGTGCATCCTTTAAAATATGGCAGTTTAATGGCAGCAATATTTTCACTTGGGAGTTAAAAGAACAATGGGAATGTCTTCTATAGATTGTCAAATATTTATCCTGAATTTATTATATGCTTGAGTTAAATATTCTTTCCCAAAGTATAAACCTCAAATTCCAAGTCATTGTGATATGTTTCAACAGTCTTGACCAATTAAATTGCCATTGTTATCTCATGTTCATGTTCACTCACTCACAGTCCAAACTTTTTTCTATTCTCTGCCACTTTCACTTCTTTCCTCTCATTGTTACACCTCAGAAAACAGTCATTCATTTTAAAAATGATGACTAATGTACCTCCAAAAACAATAATTAGTATTCATTAATTTTAATGTATAAGTTGGTGTCTCCCAGTATGACATGAACAATCATTCAGTTGATGCAACAACAACAACAAAAACACAAGAAGTTTTATGTTGTTATTCAGAATAATGTAAATAACATATATGCCTATGCTCTGTGTTTTCAAAAAGTGTCTGCCTAAAGAAGATGTTTTATCTTCTTATGATAAACAGAGGCATTAAAATCCATTAACCAGAGTAAACGGATACAGCTCCTCTCTGTTACGTTTTTATTTGTTTAAAGTATTGTCACAGATTTCATCAGCTGATTTAACAAAAATACTGCTATATTATATACAGCGATTCTCATAATGAATACTATGCGTACATGATAAGATCACTATCATATTCTTTGACAATCACCATCTATCTCTAAATGTCTATTATAGACTACAATATAAAAAAATGTGTTACACTAAAAATAACTTTTTAAACATTCTTATAGTACTTATTACAATTTTGTCATTGCACTTAATTATACAATGTATGGAAGACCTAAGATCTAAAATTTTATAATACATTTTATATCAACTTAATATGTAGTTTGCAAACACCACGCATAGTTTCACTTCTAGATTGAGTAGTATCGATAATAATATAAAAAGAGAAACTTAGACTTTCTTTACTACTCTTTTGTATCACAAACTCTATAATGCTCTTTGGTTTTCATCACTTCATTCACATTATAAAAATTGGTGATATTAATATTTATTATTCAAAGTCAGATCATAACCATGATTATGTTGTTTATAGTCAGTTTGTAGCCTTAAAATCCAAACCACTGCTACTTGTAAATTTCCTGACAATAATACTTAATAAATCCAGCATCCATGTAGAAAATAAGGCATATTTAACATACAGTTTGGTCACAAAAAAATTTATTACAAATGTCCATGTGAATTTCTTAGTTTTACCTAACAATTAGCATATTCTAATAATATCAGCCTCCTTGTAAGATGATTACTTATCTCAGGGATTTATTCTAAAGATAAAACCATTTTATCTAATATGATCTGATAATTTTAGAGTATGGCTACATTATACCCACATTTGTAATATCACGGTATATTTAATCATAAAAGTTGGTGTACCTGACAATTACTTAGAAGTAGTAGCTACTGTGAAGAATGCTGCAGGTTACTGCTTAGGACCAGTGTCCTCATTTAATCCAGATAAAATAAGGGACTGGATATTCTGTAAATGAGTAATACCATATTATATGTCAGACTACCCACAATACATTCATCCAAATTTGCTTTACATTCGCTCTTCATCATGGCTTCAGATTTTACATCACCATTTTTTTCTAAGTAACTATAGAAACAATGTTGATTCTGCTCCTTGGCCTTTACACTGTGTGGATTTGGATGGTGTTGTTGATGTTTTGGACATACATGTTGCCTCTGTCTTCAGGGTTGAAGAGAGTAAGGTGAGTGAGTGTTGAAGTATATACAGGATTTCATTCAACAAACTAATGGGGGGAGGGGGGAGGCTGGTGCTCTCTCCATTGGATAAGACTGAGCACTAGCCAGTACACTTCACCACTTGGGTCTGTTGCACTAATATCTATTATAAACTCATGCTGAATCATCCTGCTCACTTCAACACTGAATAAAGAGACAGCATATACTTCCAGAACATCAGCGTCCCTGTCCATATCCGCACGGTGGCAGGACCCAACTGCAGCATCACCATCAACAATGAACCACCATGAAAGCCCAAAATCAGTAACTATAGGAATGTACGAGTATCCCACAACTTAAAGGTCCTTGTTTTATCCTTTAGCAATTTTACCAGTGCTTCCATCTGTAAATCCTCAGTTTCCAATCACTGTGTTCTCTTAAAGTTTAAATATCATAAAATATATCAACACAGCAAATGTAAAAATCTAAAATTAAATCCAAATGACTACATCACTCATTCACGCAACTGTAGCACGGCGTTGTTTGCCTTTCAGTAATTCATTAAGCTCATTCTCATTTCTGCAATACTTGAAATCTTTAGGTTGAACACCCTGGAAAATCTCCACTATACTGGGTTTCAGATTGTAGAACAAAATGGGCTGGTTCCGTCTGACAAAGTCCTCTATCAGAGACTTGATACCCTGTAATATAAAAGTGGAATATATAGAGAGCTTCTATTATAAGTACTGAAGTTCCTATTGAACCGATAAACATCACAGATGTGATTGAAAGCCTTTATTGGCTTCTTTGAATCCTAATAACCTAATTTTGTGCAACCATTCTTGTCCCTGATTTGAAATGAATCCTAGCATCCTACTGTTGTTGATTCTTAGAAGACTGCATTTCTGATCACCTTTCTGAAATTTTGGACATAGCTCACAGATCTTAAATCAGAATGTAAAACAAAAATTGCATTCAGTATTTTGTGCAGCCAATGGATCACACCAGACTGCCATATGAGAAATCTTTAACACTGTAAAATCTGTAAATTCCCTGTCACAAAATTCTGTGGTTTGTTAAATAAAAAATAAGACTTCAGAAATATCTAGATTGAACAGCTGACCACAATTGTACAATTTACACAAAATTTGAAAAAAAAAATGGTATGAGAATGGATATTTTACCATACATGCTTTTTGAGATCTCACTACTGGAAGCTGAGGTGACAAGTGTACATTCATATGTACAAAACTATTCCTGTTAATTATGTACATTATAATGAAACATTTCTGAAAAAAAGACCTATATGAATTGGAAATCTGTTTTCACGAAATATTTCTTCAGCCCTGAATAAAAACACAAATTATTAGTATAAAAATACGTTTAAGAGCCAGGAACTGTCCCAGACAGGAATAAAAAACGAAAATAACTCCACGTGAAATTTACACAGAGCAGCCATTCAGTAAACTTCTGAGTCAGTGCCACCAACCTAGCAGTCTAAATATAGTTGCATTTCTGGTCTTTCTAGACTTCTGGAAGAGGTTCTGAACATACACATATAGCAGTCAAGAAATTTACAGAAACAGCATACCTTCATAATGGGTTTCATGTTAAAAAAGGAACATCCCTGTATTAAATTTTCATGATAAATCAGTAGCATTCACCACATTTTAATTTATATTATAAAACATGCATATACACACTCCTTCCCTGAGTCTGGGGAACTCTTTTCTGCTTACCTTGGCAGCAGTGAAGTCTGCACCTTGAATGTGCCTGCTGTCAATCACAACTGGTACAGAACTAGACCCCTGCTTCATGCCTGCTTTTGACACTAGATTTCGCACATATTCAACAGATGGAAACACAAGACTTCTGTCTGGGGTGATCAATATATATTCACATCCAGATGGGCTCTGAAAACACATTCAGCTTTCAATAGAGTACTCTGGAAATTGTTTACATATATATATATATATTGATTTTGTCTCCCAAAATAGAACACAAAACTGGTACATAAAATGATTCCTCACAAACAGAAAACCAAGAACAAATTTGAATTAAGTCTCTATGCTTCAAAACAAATGTTGTAAAACTATAGCAAAAGTTCCCTGTAAGTACACTACATCTGTTGCCTGTTTTAACTTTTATACTGTGACATTTTAAAGGGCTTCAAAGCATCCAATATCAGCTAAATTGGCAAACATTTAACATCAAAATGTCACTGGATTTAGTGACTGGTCACTGCAGACTCTTCTACATCATTATTAAACTCTGATATTTACTAATTCATTTCAAAATTCCAAAACAGTTAACAGTTTCTGAAACCTGATCAGTAATTATGGTTTAGTACTACTAGATATTTGTTAACACAATTAATTAAGGTACTTCAGTCTTATGAGATACTCACAACTGCCTTCTCTACGCGAACACTTGGTCGTGCTGAAGCATACAGCAAGAACAAAACATTAATACCAATACCAATAACTATTCCAAGTTCCAAGCGGATGAAGAGGCAGGACAGGAATGTGGCAAATGCAGGAATTAGATCCACTTCTGAAAAACAAGAATATTTTGTAGATTATTGTTCAGTATCATCAAAAAACTTTAATCTGCTTCATACTACATACTGTACATGTAAATATTTCGTACCTTATTTGTGTGTGTTTTCATTCATTTTAGAAATCCATGCAATTTATTGTCTTGTATGGACATAAGAGTTTATTATTATTATTTGCACATAAAATTAATGCAAATATTTTCATAATTTTTACATATCTGCAAGCTGCTGAAGTGGTATCTTGTACAAGTATGTTAATATCACAGTACTGGACCTCTTTTTCTGAATATGGGCTTTTGTTCAACATACATGTAGTGCAGTCAAAAAGTGTGTGCATTCTTTCAACAGCCACCAAACAACATAGTAGAGTAAAATCTTGGTAATCAAATATATATGGGACCAAGTTACTGCCGGATTACCGAAAACGTCAGAATATGTCTCTATTTTTCCTGATATCATATATTGTAACATGTCTAACACCATACTCTTTAGCCAAATTAACAGGTTTTTCACATTTGTCTAGTTTCTTAAATTTGATTTGGTTAATCCTGGTCTGTCATACAATATTATATTATAAAAGGTTATCAACTCTGTCCAGTGTGACTGATAAAATGTTTTTTTCTCTCCTTTTTAATCTTTCATCCTTGACATGTTTCGGTCTTAGAGAGAATCTTCAGAAGGTTATATCAATACAGGCAGAAACTACTATTACAATGTGTTTGGTCAATATCAATACATACATACAATATCATCACAATGCCATGAATATAAAATGTGATCCTTTAACAACTACAGCAACGTGCATGAATACATTAAAATATTTATAAATTATTACAATACGCTGTTTACAAGTGTGGTTTAAAAATACTTTGTTAAAATCTAGAACCAATTTCGTTCGTGGCCTTTATACTGCCTCTCATTAACGGAAGTTGAATGTCTACCACTTCGTGGTTCCATTTTTTGATGAATAGGACTGTTTAGTGTTGTCCTGTTGTTCAGAACCAAATTGGTGGAAATTGTGTGATCTACTACAATGCATCATATCATTGGTCTCTTTTAGGAGAGGACTATTTAACTAAAACAGTATCACTAAGCTTCAAATAATCGGAATAAGCAAACAAAGGTGAAATGGTCCTTGTACTTAACTAATTAAGCACTATGCCATGAAGGTGTACAGGGGGAATGGATGTATAGATCCCTAATTTCTTGACCTCAGCACTAGATAGAAGGGGGTGGTCAGCTTCATGCCCCTCCTGCTTTACCCTGGGAAAGAGCCCCCAGTACCCACTGGATAGGAAGTTGGGTGGACCCCACAGCTGGTCCGGATGACGTGGAGAAGTGAAAATTCTTACCCTCACTGAGACTCAAACTGTGACCCCTTGGTTATCCAGCCTGTGCCCAGTCACTATACTGACTACGTTATCACGGATCTTATAAGCAAATAAAATGCTTTGAAATAATCTTAATTGTAACATACATATTCCTCATCTTGCAACTACTGGACCTACTGGAGAGGATAGAATCACTTACTTTTTGTTCTCCACATTGGTTTCACAACATGGAACTCGACCATGAAAACCACAGCAGCAATGATGACTGCAGCCAGGGACGCTTTCGGAATGTAATAGAAGTATGGTGTGAAGAACTGCAGGGACAGGATCACGAGGATACCTGCAACACAGCAGAGATGAAAAGTCAGTAAGGCATTGCTACAGAAACAGAAATCAATTCACAGCACAAACAGCTAAACATTCTAATTTTTTTCTAAGAAAAATAATGAATCAGTGTTTAAAACTTTAGAATATGAATACAAATTTCAATCCAAAGATTTTAGACACATTTACCAGTATAAACACCACCAAATGTTGTTTCCACACCACTGGCATGGTTTACGGCTCCACGAGAGAGGGCACCAGATACTGGCATGGAACTAACAAAGGAAGAGAGAATGTTGCATATGCCTATCGAAATCATTTCCTGAGTTGCATCTATGGCCTTCCCCTCCGCTATAACAGAAGAAACATGATATTAAAGTTTACTTGTTGCACTTTCTTGACCATATGAGTTGCATAATAATGTAACATTCATTTGCAATATTTGGTGACACAGCAATATGGCAACAGGACAGAACAAGATTCTAATGGAATTTAATACTCTTCATATCCTGTTGATGGGTAGTCACTGTGTGTGTTTCAAAGACTTTTGCAGTACTAAGATAATACATAATAGTTGCATGGTATGATTATTCAGAGCAACAAGTAAATGTAAAGTCTCATCATTGTCACTCTGTTTCTCCCCAAAATTGTAAAAGTCACACACCACTTCCATGTTGCAAACTTAAATTGTTAACAAATTGCAAAGGACATGGCCCAATCTACTCTAAACAGATTTAAAATTTTATCTAGAAATAAATTATATATCTATGTATGCCTAAAGCATTTAGATATACCTCACAAGTATAAATTTGGACATGTAACAAACATACTTCTCTGGCATCTATGAAAGTGTGTATGCATATGGCATGTGTGTCACAGTGTGAACAATGTATAAGTCAGAAATGACTGATCTAACAGTTTTGAAATTTAGAACTTCAACTGAAGGTCATAAACTGGGATTTGAAGCCATGCCCCAGGAGAAATATGATATTAAAGAAATCCAGCAAAAACATTTTCTGCCATATACTGGTGTTCTTAAGAGTAACATATATTTTGGGGTAGAGAGTTATGCAAACCATTTATACACATTGAAATAAATGTACAGTATATGTAAAGAGAGAAACAAAACAGTTTTCATTTGTGAAACATGAAGAATTTCATAACTGTATACATTTCACTGTTAATTAAAACAGCATGAAAGATTTAATTTAGGAAATTATTATTATTTATTTCATCCATAGCTGTAGAGAATTACAACTGGACATGTCAAATATCAACAACCTCACATAAAAACAACATAAGTAAAAAATAACATAACATTCACACNTGAAATGAGAAATGCATAAAACAGTTTAGTTTGAAAATCTAAAAGGAAGTGGCTACATGGGAGATCTAGGCATAGATAATGNAAAAACAACATAAGTAAAAAATAACATAACATTCACACAGTGATTCATGACTATAATACAAGCCTGAAGTGCTTGTCAGGAACAATTTTGTTTCTTTCACTTCACATGTCATTCAAGCACTTCTAGATAGAAATGGGCAAACCATCACATTGCCAATGTGATTAATACTTTCACATATGAATGGGGAGATGAGAAAGGCATAAAACAGTTTAGTTTGAAAATCTAAAAGGAAGTGGCTACATGGGAGATCTAGGCATAGATAATGAAATAACATTTATCTTAAAGTATGGAGTGGGGATGTCGATTAGATTTAAGTGGCGCAGAAATGGATCCAGTGGCAAGGCCTTGTGAATATGCTACAAAGCTTCATGTTTCATAAAGAATGAACAATTTATTCAGTAGCTGAGCAGCCATTAGCTTCTTAAGGTTAACTGTGCTTCATGGAGTGATCTAGTGAGGGAAAACCCATATTAATTTACTTACCAAATACTTTTGCCAGTGCAATATTCTCAAGAATTGCGAGCAAAGGGACAACAAAGGTTGCAGAGCCAAGGTTAGACGCCATCTCCAGAAAGGTGTAGGTGTGGTTGCCAACCTGTGCTGAGAATGGGGGTGGATGGAACGGTGGAAGTCCTGCCTTGACAATGCCGGTGAGGATGAATGGTTGTGAGCCATGGACTTCAAAGAGATATGCCATGACAGCACAGACAACCACCACAAGAATATTCCTTGATGTAGATATAAACCACAGGAACTGATTCACTGCCTTCTGGACCTTTGTTCTCTCCTTGACGTCTTGCGGACCCACAGGAATATCCTTCACCTTCTGTGATGCAAGAAGAGACAATATGAAGTTTAAACACACTCTTCACCTCCTTACATTCTTACATATTTAAAAAGTTCTACACAGTTTCACAGGAAATTAACGAAGCCACTTGGCAGAAAACTGAAAACTTTCTATAGATATAATAAAAACAGAATGGCCCACATTGGTATCAACGGATTATTAAATTCAAAAGCATAGATCTTCATAATTACAACACTCACTTAATAGAAAATCAACTGAGAGATATTATTTTAGTGATTCAGTAACATATTGAAAAACTCTTCTAGCTGGAACTTTTCTGAGCTAGCATTCTGATGTATGTAAGATTTGAGGCTTTCACGGCGGTGACTATGAAGAAAGCAGTCTTCTGGGATTTGGCACCGTGTATATGTGGTGTTAACTGACGTTTCGGAGGAACGTATCGCCCCCATCTTCAGGGTAGAAGAAAAAGTATAAGAATTCTGCAAGCGACAACACCGTGAGAAACGGTAAAGCAGACTGGAAATATACCAGCTATGCTCAACATAGCTTGTCGCTTGCAGAATTCTTATACTTTTTCTTCTACCCTGAAGATGGGGGCGATACGTTCCTCCGAAACGTCAGTTAACACCACATATACACGGTGCCAAATCCCAGAAGACTGCTTTCTTCATTCTGATGTATGTTCTCATTAGTTATGCTCAACCAAGAGATCATATATCTTATTAGCCAGCATTTTTACTGTTTGCCCAAATCAAAAATGTATTCCCTATCTTGAACTAATCAACTATCAAAAATGTCACATGTTATTTTTGTTCCATAATACAATATATTTACCCTTAGAAGAAGCAGGACTGCCATACATGTAAACCCAAGAATTGTATCCCATAGCCGTGTTTCTGAGATATGTTCAAACAACCTTTCCCATACATCCAGAAATTTGCTACCCGGAAAACTGAGGCCTAAAACATCTTTAATTTGTGTTGTTGCAATAATGATGGCTGCTGCAGATGTAAAACCAACAGATACAGGTCCAGAGATGAAGTCAATCAAAAAACCTGAAAAACAGAGCAGATTCCTTTTAGATTAAGAAACAATGGTTTATGTTAAGACAATTACCCATATTCACATATTATTAAAAGAACTTTTCTCTTCTTTGTAAACACACCTGACTGAGGAAGAAGTTCCATTAAATCATTCATATGGCACAATAATTTAATAATTGCACTTTTCAACCTCATACTTAATCAAAATCTCCATAAATCTGGCATAGTCTGCATTTTTATTCAGTATTTTTTTATTAACTGTATCTGTATTAAGAAACTTCCCTTAAATATTTATGTCACTTTCAGATTTGTATTTATCTATAAAAGATGTATCCTATGTCAATAATTACACTAAAAGAATGATATAAAAATTGAATTAAATATTGTCATGACCTATTTTATAAAAGACAATCTATGTAATCATAGATTTATGCTTTATTAAATTAATAGGCTTTCCCCAAGAACTGCTGGTAAATTGTAAACTTTTAAGAGCTGCTTACTTCATGTTAGAATGCCAGATTTTAAATGGACAATCTCCACTCTGGACTCAAACAGAAGAATGTGGAAACAGAAACACATACAAAAGTCTTCAAATCCACAGACTTATTTAGTCACAATTTTGTTGAAAGCATAATATTTCTGAAGTGCTTTGAAATGATGATTTCCAGCAGGCAGCAACTTTCTCTTTTACTCTCCAGTAATTGGCTTCCCTTCCAGTTATGAAGAGCTGTACCACATGTTAGACATTTACTTATTTGTTGAATGTCAAGTTAGGTAAACCCACTTTATGAAATGATTTCAAAAATAAATATTATAGTATGATATGTTTAACTTTATCATGTGCCAAACATCAATTTCAACAGCAGAATATATGTTATGTGAACTTAAATCAGTAGTTCCACACACAACTTTTACAGCCAGTTCTTTAAATTCCCACATGCTTTAATATCAGATGACATTTTAAACTTAACAGAATAAGAGTGATTGGAATAAAGTGAAAACATGACTATGCGAACTTCCTTATTTGATCATACCAGTTTCTGCAAGAAGCAGTATTCAAATGGTAAACCAGATCACTAGCTTCCATTACACTTTATGTTCTAACAAAGACCAAGTTAGAAGCAGTGACACAGATTTTCTATTAAAATTTGTATAATCCTGTCAAAAAGTTTTTGGTTTATGTAGAAAAATTATACCTTTTTACTTTACTTTTATTTGCCATGAGAAATATTGTGACATGTCAAACCGTTGTTGGGCAACGGGAAGTGGAACAAGTTACCACGAAAAGCAGAAAGGTAAAATCTCAATTTCAGTATTCTATCTTAAAAGTTTCTCGTTTTTCTATTTCTTATTGTTACGTCTTCCTTTGCTTTCCCTCCTGTACCACGTAGTTCTCTGAATCTTAATTCTAGCTGCTCTCTGCTTAGTAACAACTCACAGCTGATTGACATACCTTCTATACATTAGAGGTAAATAATGCAATTTGTTATATATACCTTTGCTGATTTTATCTTTCATCATATATGGTGGACCACTTATTTGTTAGGTTTTGTATGCTCCTCCCACACTAAAGCTGGTATGTTTAATCATCTTCCTGATCTAAAATTACCTTAATTTTTCTCTTGAATATCTACCTTCTCCATTGCACAACACTCATGCAGTCTAGTGGGCTTAAAGATAGGATTTTATTATAGTTAATATATGAAATATGATTTGAACAGTTAAATATACATATGTAAGTCTATAACATTCTTAATTCTTAATCATTTATCCTCATTTATTTTTTCATCCTTCATTGTAGCATTACCTCGAAAGATGATGATGCAAATTATTAAATTTTATTACCAGCATACTTCTCTTGCTTGCCTATTAGTTTTTATCAAGTTATCAAATGTATATTTAAAACATACAATGTCTTATATATATTTTCCTTAAATACCTTTATGCACTTCTAAGTAAAATCCAGTATGGTATAGAAAGGGTCATGTAACTTCGAACAAGGCCAAGAGTAACCTTGAATGTGCAGAAGAAAATTTTCAGACAGCATCTAACTAGGTTATGAAATATATAAATCTGTCTTTATTATGTTGGTCACCTGTATTCCACCCACCAATGCAAAACTGAAAATTAATCTAGGTTTAGTAGGTATACTAATGAGCTGTTTTGAATTGTATGTGTGACCTGTGAAAATTATCATTTCACATTTTACAAAACTTGTCACTTGTCACTTTAATCATATATAAACCAGATCCAATTATAATGCAGTCAACAGGCTACATCGTTATGCTTGTGTTTTAAATGGAATTATTGTTATCCTCAGGCTAGATAACTGATTGGCACCAGGGCTGGCATGACAGCACAGACAAATCAAACAGCCAATTGGGGTGGCATGATATTAGGGTTAGGACACTTTACATTCTTTCCGTTGAATGAAAACTTATTACTGCTGATCATCTGTTTATTTTGTGACCAATAATTAGCAGTATTCTTAAATTTGTTATTCAACAATGAAAATAAAACTGTTTTAAGAATTATGACATCAATTTAAAATTAAAATAAAGCTGGCAGTTCAAATCAGTTGTCAAGAACATGATTTCTTACTTTATAGCGACATATCTGATCATACTGCCACAGGGAATACAGGTTATTTTGTCACTGTGTTATTATAAGATTTTATTGATTGCCCCTGACTCGATCATTTTGAAATGGTTCACAGCTGATAAACTGTTCAGAACCACTGTTCTAAAAAAAAAAGTTGATTCTGTGATATAGAATATCAATTTGGGTAATTCAGTCTTTATGTTTATGCAAGAATTATTTGCTTTCCATATAAGAATACAACCTGAAATCATGATGAACACTGTTAAAGCTATGCTCTACCATGATGAGCCACACTTACCTAGCTGAAGTATCCCCATAAGTAATTCTACACAGCCTGAGAGAAAACAGAGCAGAACAGCAAACTCTGGACCCAAGTCATGGAGGTTCTCTCGAGTTAGAATGGCGGCGATGGCTGTAGGACCCACTGGAGAATCCTTACACGAGCCAAATATGGCATAAACAAAACATGCCATAAAGGAAGAATACAGTCCATACCGTGGAGGTAAACCTGCGACATTGGAATAAGCAATGGCTTGGGGTATGACTGTGAGACCAACAGTAAATCCAGCCACAATGTCCGAAATGGCTGCACGACAAGTGTACTGAGGAAGCCAGCTGAGGATTGGAACTCTTTTGTACAACAGTTTGCGAGTACAACTACGACGCGCTCGCTTCACTACCCAGTGGATCGCTGACCTACTGCTGTTCCCATCATTTCCACCTCCTGGGGTGCTGCCGTCAACACCTCCAGCTGATCCGACACCAGAATGATGGAATCCTCTTCTGGGGTGTCTAGCTCCATCGATTTCAGCTTTCCCTAGCTCTGAGAGTGTAACAGCAACGTTGTCACAATTACCATCTGCAAAATACGAGACATATATTATGTTTAGACAGCAATAAATATGAATAAGCCTCTATCAATATAAAATATTCTCAGCACTTAACAAATACCTTGGTGACTAGTTGGGATGAACTTATAACAGATAATTCTTAAGTGTAGAAAAATGTGCAAAATTCAGTTCATTTTCTGAATGATGTGCGTAAAATCTACATATTAAATGGAATTTGTGATATTGGCTATTAATAATTTAATAGCAATTTTAATTTTGCTTTAATTTTTATTCATTTAATATCAAGTTTATTGTCTAGTTTTAACTATATTTGAGCCGTATTTTGAAATTAAGATGTAACTGTTAGCATAGAATAATCCCACAGACAAGATATGAATTCATATTAATTAATGATGCAATTCAGAAGCCAAACAGTATTCATGTACACCTGAGGATGACCAAGGAAAAGGGTCGAAACACATAGCAATACCATAATAACAAATAATAACAAATGTTTACACAGTAATATCTATTTTGTTTCTTTTGGTTATTTGTTGTGTGAGTGTCCCAAATTATATCTATTTGTATTTACATATCATGTGGAGCTTCTTATTTTCTGTTTGCCCATCTTTATATTTTATCTCAATGGAATAAACAAATATTATGTTACTGGATATTATCCATCCTCCTGTTTATATTTCAAAACACAAAGTTTCTGACACTGGATTCTGTCTCTGTCTTCAGGTAAAACCTACTCAATTGGGCCCAACTGAGTAGGTTTAATCTGGAGGCAGAGACAGAATCCAATGTCCGAAACGTGTTTTGAAAAGTTTGATTTGTTTCATTCTGGTCCGTCACACTAACAATTACAAATATAAATCACTCCATCCAATGTGACCTGCAAGTTTTTTACTACATGAAAACTTACAGGTCACATTGGACAGAGTGATTTATATTGGTACGTGTTTTGAAACATAAACAGGACAGTGTTTTAGATAAAAACAGGACCATGGATAATGTCCAGAAACACAATATTTGTACTGTTGTACCATCACCACAAACTTATAGATCTTATCAATGAAATATGATGAAATTTTATATTTTGAATTTCATTTCAGCCTGAATAAATCAAATAAAATTGTGGACATATTTCATACAAAGCTCAAATTTACTTTTATCGCTTTCCTCAAAAAAATAACTTAGTAAAGAAGGTAGCCTCGACATTAAATATTATAATTTAATTAAATTAAAATCTCATTTTATTTATTACTTTTGTTTGAAACACTCCTTGAATATTTAACAAAACTGAAGGAAGAATAATTTATGATGATCCAGCCTATCAGCGGCCTCCGTAGTCTAGGGGTAACGTTCCCACCACATGACTCAAGGTACGCGGGTTCAAACCCGGCGGAGGTCGTGGAAATTTTAAGGGCGGAAAAATTCAGGTAACAAGTCCTCTGGGAGGGACTTTAAGCCGTGGGTCCCGTGTCGTAGATTTACGGCATGTAAAAGATCCTCGTGTCTCTAGGAGACCTCTGAGCAAAATTAGGCAAAAGTTTCCGGCCCAAGTAGTTTCCAATGCCTCTGGTAGATGGGGAAGTATCGGGTACCACTGCCAGCCTCGCTGGCTGAACGGGGCTGATAGCGAGCACCAGTATCGGAAGGGTATGGCGACTGGTAGAATATCACAGGGGGACGTACAATAGACTATTAGTCGCGGTGTATGGGGAAAACCCACCTCCTCCAATAATAATAATAATACTAATAATAATAAAATGCAGTCTATCAGTATCATTTTTAATTTTGTATACAAATATCATCATGAACACACTTGTTGCATAAATGAATACTAATGAAATATATTCAAAACTTGAGAGAAAGAATCTAGAAAAGACTTTTACTGTAAACGTACATATATACATACTCAGTATACTCATTATTACCCTTTTCTGTGTTGAATTTTCTCTGTCACATTAAATTATTTTCTACATAGCCTGCTTTATGTTGTGACATCTGACGTACTTATGGCAATGACTGTAAATATTACTGGCTTTAGAATCTGACATGTAGTTAGGTAGATAGGTATCAACATTGGATGAGCCTGCTGTCTCCATCTTCAGGGCAAAAGAATTAATTTTACTTAACTATTAACTTTATATTTTCAACCTTTTGTCATCTTTTGGTTGTACTGTGTAAGAAAAGGTTAACTACTATCCAGCAGGATATTAACCTTCAACGGTTGACCCTAACCCTCCAAACTCTTCTATCTGGATGATGGAGGCAGTAGGGTATTCCGAAATATTGGTATCTACCTACCAAACTACATGGCGTCACATCCTAGAATATAGTAATCCTCAGGACTTCGTCCTACTCGTATATTAACTTTCCATCGTCGTGCAGAACTGAAGATGACAAATAATTAGTACGTGTCTGTTATAATACTATTTGGATATTCACTGTCAGAGCTGCTACTATAAACTTTAACGAGTCACGTTGTGTACAACACTATCATGCTGACCAATGACGCGACGGACAACGGAAATGTACCTCCCGAAGCCAACCTGTCACACTGAACATCATACTCCCTTAGCGGCGAAAGAAAACAATCGTTGCGAAATACAACAAACACTTTTCTGATATTTCGAAATGTACTTCGTTTGTTAACGTGATTCTAGACGATGGAACTAGATGGAAATTAGCGGTCTGCTTTATGCCTCGACCGTTTTACCTCCTGAGGAAAGAGTCCCTTCTACGCGCTACACAAGAAAATGGGTAGGTCCCAGACAAAAGTGTCTGCCACGTGCCCTGGAATCGAACTCCGACAATCAAAAGAGAACTTTCCCATCTGGGCTAAAATTTATTTGAAATTAAAGTCATCTATCGATTACCAAAATACTTATAAAAAAAAACAAACAGAAAAGGTTGGCCAAATGTGTCTCTCTAGTGCAGGCTTACATCATTCTTGGGCGCACCATAGCTCAAGCGGTTAGTCGCTGGCTTCCCACCGCGGCGGCCCGGGTTCGATCACGGGTATGGTCAAGTGGGATTTGTGGTGGACAAAGTGGCGTTGTGGCAGGTTTTCTACAAGTACTTCGGTTTCCCCTGCCAATCTTCATTCCACCAATTGCTCCACAATCACCCTCACCTATCATCTGGGGCTGGTACAATAGGCCAGAAGTGGCCGCAGTACAAGGGACTTAGTCCCACCCCAATAACAATAAAAAAAAAATATATCATTCTTGCTCCCTATTCGAAAGTATCATAATGGATTAAGTCCATGAGCAATTTCGGTTATAATGACTAAAACTGTTCCTTCCATGTTTCTGTCGCCATCTTGGCAACTTCAACTTCGCGGTTTATACTGATACAGCAGCTTCGGGACTGGGTTTTTAAGCACATCCAATTGTTTTAGATATTATTTATAATTCTAATTTACTACTGCTTAAATATTTGTTATTCAAACTTGTATTTTTTAATTGCACCATTACGTTTATGATCCGACATTTTGTTGTATCCTGCGACAGCTCTGAGGAACTCATTTCCGCCTTCCCCTTTCTTCTCTTTTTTGTGTTTTCGTTAACGTCTAACATACGAAACCATAATTATATACTTTATGAAGTTTTTCAGACCCACATTAACAACAAAATTGAATCTAACAAAAAATACTACAGCTTAGAGAAACACTGAATCATCAAAAGACTCCATATATTAATACTGACAAAATATGTCGCTGCAGGTGCGAACCGATATCTCAGTCAGTGACAAACTTGGCGCTAGAGTCAATACACTGTCTCTACCACCAAGAATAATATCGAGTATGATGTGAAGTCATTAAGTTGAATACTGTAAGCAGATCATAATAATCCCAGCTTGACACACAGAAATTTTCTTGCCTACATTGCTCTAGACAAACAGGAGAGTTCCCCCAACTGTTACTTACATAACCGGACACGCAGCGCTAGATACGTGACACGTGATGTAGAATTAAAGGTCTCCTACGAAATTGACATTTTAAACAAAGGAACAATGACTTAACCTACGTTTTACGGTTAATAATACGGCGTTTTCATTATTGTCTGTCCTTTTTTTTCGGAACTTCAGAAGATTACATTGAACACCGAGAAGTTTTTACCGTAAATTGATTGGGTTAGATCGAAAAGGGCACAAGTCTGCGTTTCAGTCACTCCTTTATGAACTGATACAAATATTGTGACTGATATTTTGAGCACTGTCCATTATTCCAGTTTTAATCATTAAGTCCCAATGTTCTGGAAAATGGCTCTGCTACTTTCAGTAAGTGACAGGAAGAACGTATGCCATTCCATTGGGACCCTACGCAAAGCTAATATGAAATCTTGGTCATAGGCTTGAAAAATCTGGGACGAACGGCAATGTTGAAAATACAAGTCAAACGATTTAATCTGGGGGCACGGGGTAGCGTAGTTGGTTGAAGGGCTATGCTACAAACCTAATCCTTCCAGCCGCACTATGGCCCTGGGGTCGACTCAGCCTCTAACAGAAATGAGTACCAGGAATTAATTAAATAATTTTCCTGGGGAGTAGAGCGCGGCCGGCGCGTAAGGCAGACAACCTTACCGCCATCTTTGAGCCGATTGTCTAGATAATGTGGGAGCCTCAACCTCTCACAACCCTATGGGCCTTCACGGCCTGGTACAGGGATAGCTTTACATTACTTACGATTTAAACTTAATCGATTAAACTGTTACCTCTGGTATTTGTTCTCATGCGCATACAACAACGATCTTCATAACACCATACACATAAGGGAAGCAAAAATAAGTCATCAATGTGTACATGACTAAATTACAACACTATATACGCAAGTCGTCACACATGGTCTTCTGATAATATTTTTGCAAAGGGATAAACAGAAGAGGCATCTCTATATTAACTGACAAACGAGCTAGCCCAGGAGCCTGGAGAGCGTAGTCGGTATAGCGACTGGATACGGGCTGGATAACAGAGGGATCGGAGTTCTAGTCCCGATAGGGTCAAGAATTTTCTCTTC